GAAAATAGCAATGCTGTATCATAAAATTTATAAGCATTACTAAGAAAAATAGATAACTGGTGGGTAAATTTTTAATCATACGATTAGAAATAGAGTCCATACCAGGGGCTTTTTTGGGTTTGAGCTTGGTAATGTATTCACTTACCTCGCTCATGGATGTATATTGTTTTTTCTCTCGCGAAAGGCGAGGAGAGAAACGTTCAATCAACATCTTGTGGGAAAGAACTTGCGTTGTTCGCAAAAATTCCTTCATTATGTGGTGTAAATTGAGTTTGAAGAGAATCCGCAATTAATTCGGATTTCTCAGCGTCTGTGTGAGCCACCGCTGCGTCCGTAGCTAAGGACGGAATGTTAGATTTGTGTTTGCGTAGGCGGGCTGATGCGCGCCAAAGACTGTTATCATTGGTCGTTAGGGACTGAATGTAATTCGTGTATTGTGATTGGAAGAACTGGTCACATGATGCCTTGATCTCATTTTGGAAAGTACGGAGTTGAATTTTTAATCCAGGATTTCTATTTCTTTGCCAAAGTCTCCGTACTTTATTCTTTTCTTTAATTTTGAGCTTAATTTCTTGTGGTAATTTACGAAAATTGGGTCTAAGGGTGGGTTTTGATACTTCCTTATAAGTATCTGTTAAAATGGTCGTTAATTGATCAACTGCCGAGTCTATATCATGGCTGGATTTAATTTCAAGGGAGGGCAAATTTTTACTTTTAAGTTTGAAACAAAAATTGTCCCAGTTTGTAGAGACGAGTGCCGTAGAAATTTTGATTAAAATAGTACAGTTAAGGTCTATGATCACGGGGTTGTGATCTGAAGATAAACAGTTTTAAACAGTCACGTGATATCCAAAAGGGATGTTTCGAAAGAGTGCTAAATCAATGAATGAAGGGGCACCCCGTGAACCATATCTAGTGGGGGAATCCGGCGCAATAATTTTAATTTGGGCGCACTGAGCCCATTTTAGAAGGCCACGACCAGCAGGGTTTGATCTGTGACAACGCCAATGCTGATGGTGACAATTTAAATCACCAGCTATGATTAGATTGTTGGATAAGGTAAGCAATTTGTTAAAATCAACCACAGGTAAATTTCCACCTGGTGGAAGATATGCAGAGATCATTACAAGGAAGGGCGAATTTTGAATGAAAATTTCAATGATTGTTGCCTCGAGTTTACTCATACTCGGAGTGTCAATTCTTTTGTGAGGTATTGAATTTTTAATATAGACACAAGTGCCACCATGATAAACATCACGAGTATTAGAAGCTTGTCTGTCATTTTTATATAATGCATAGTTTGCATGCTTGGGAGCTCTCCCTGGCTGGAGTTTGGTCTCTTGGACAAAAATAATATCAAAATCTTTCTCTTCTACATAGTCTCTAAACTCATGGAATTTGGATAGGAATGCCATTTGCATTCCAGGTGCATAGTTTGAAGTTTTTCAATCCTTTCAAAGTATTGAATTTTAACTGACTGGGGATATCAGAGAATTGGAGAGTAATATAACTCTCAAAGATGTAGTATGCCGCGTCAGCAGCACCAGATGGAGCCACTCTGAGCTGCGGTAAGGCGTTTTTGAATGCCAGAAGTAATTTGCTCTGGTCAATGCCAGGCTGATTAGAAATTTGGAATGATAGCCAAAAGGATTTCGGTTCAATTTAGATTCGAATTTGCTCCTAAGGGGACCGAAAAATTTGGAAGAACTTGGGGCGCAGCCTGTTGCATACCCGTAAGGGCAGCGGAGTAAGAAACTCCAGGTCTGGTGTTATTTGCACTGGGTGTGTGTGCAGCCGGCAGTGTTGGAAATGTAGTGTTTTTTTGTAAGTTAAATTTGTGTGTGTTGTCAACGGTCTGACTGGGCTTGGTACTTGGCTTTGGTGGTTGTCGATTCTTTGAGCCAGGGAACTTCGGGCAGGAACGCCAGTTTTGCTGCATGGTTTCCTGAGCAATTTTGCACATTTGTTCGGCTCTTCGAAAGGTTTTGTACAGTCCTTTGCTTGATGCGGCCCGGCACATCTGACGCATCGTCTTGGTAAGGTGCAGACTTCGGACGAATGAAAAAATCCCTGGCAACGCCAGCATTAGGAGGGACCCTTCTGTCCTTTGAAGTGTTCCATGGAGACTTCAGTTCCAAGGAGTTCGGTTATTGAATATATTTCCTCAGCTTTTAGGCTATTGTAGATTTGCAAATAAAAGAGGGGCATCGGCATCTTCGTTTTCCACTTCTTCAGTTGAGAAATTTTATGAATTTTGAGCCAAGCACTTCAACCGCAGTCTGTACAACGTTGAGAGGTGTATTGGAGGGTAATCCCCTATTGACAACTTTAAGTGGTCTATCTGCTTTGAGTGTGTGTGACTTGAATTCAATGTTATTGTCTGTGAGGAATCTAACAACTGTTCTATAATCAGTTCATTAGTGGTTGTGAGTTTAAGAAAGTCTATGTTTTGTTTGGAAAGAACAGTTGGTGCATGTCGGCGTAACTGATTGAGGAGAAAGAACCAATCAGCACGCGGTTTTATGAAAATTGGAGGTGGTGCTTGAATTTTTGGTGCTTGAGTGACAGCCGGCTGCTGAGTCGAGTGTTCAGTGTTATCAGAGTTTTGTATGTTTGTGAAAGAGTTAGATGTTGTAATGTTTTCATTATTATTAGTGTTGGGTAATGGTTTTTTGGCTATTAGATGTTTAGGAGGAACTGAAAATCCTTCATTGTCTGTGGGTCTAGTGCGTTTTTTAGATTCAATTTTAGAAGTATCTTTTGGAGGATTTGGATTGGCTGAGGATGAGGGTGGATTTGAACTTTGAGTTTTAGGATCAGAATTTTGGGTTTTAGGATCAGAATCAGGGGTTTTAGTAGATTTTTTGCATTCTTTGAAGAATTCCTCTTCAGTGGCAGGGAGGGTAAATAAATTAATGCCTAGTTTAGTGCAGAGGGTATGCAAGGAAAATAAAACTTTCTCACCCTCATCCTGCAACTGCTTGATCATCAATTCCTTGTTAGGTGTCTCCGTTCTTTGTAGTCGCTGAATATCAAAAAGGAGGTCTGTGTGGCGATTTTTTAGAGAATAAATTTGGATTGCGCTCTTCGACAGCTCAAGTGCAGAAGGAGAAGCAGGTGGAGAAGATGCTGTAATTTCCATTTCAGTTTGGATCTGTAGAGGCGGAGGAGAAGTAGATTGTTTGCCCACTGGCGGCGCCGTATTCTGGATTCCGTTCGCATTGACATTACGGAGCTCAGAAAACCACTTTAATACTTGGCGCGTTTTCTGAAAACTTGGCGTAGATGGTGATCAGCAGGAAGCCAAAAACCAGCAACCCAACGCTAGGAATCTTCACGGGAAGGGGTTTCCCGACTGTCAGACAAGCCGTTTCTCGCTATTCCATCATTCAACTTCCAAGGCCACACCAATGTGTCATCAAATCTGCAGACGAAAACAAGGGGGGGAAGAAACTAGCCTCGCTCGAGGGTCCCAGTCGATAATGCAGATCTTCTAACTCAACGGATAAGTATGCTGTAGAACATCTCCATGCTTGCCTGTCGAGAAAAACAGGGTCCTCTTTCCGTGAAACACCATATGGTATATCCATTCAACTTCGCCCCCCACATGTGGTGTATCGCTTGGGAGAAGGAATTTTGGGGTGCAGCAAAACCGCTGATAAGAGTTTCCAAGAAGGAAATCCAAGCCGAGGGCAAGGGATGAAAAATCTCTGAACCAAGTTTATACAAAAATGACTTTGGGAAATTAAAAAATGAAACTACTAATTACACAACATTATAATTCATAATAAAAATATCAGCACTCTAAAAATTTTTTCTTCAGCCACAATTAAAGTATACACACATAAATTATCCAAATTGAAATACCAAATACAAAAAAAAAATTATCATACCGCCAGTCAGAAAATATGTATTCGTTTAACTTTAAAAGAAACAGGGATACAAATAAAATTACTTAAGGTTAAGAAAAAAAAATTAACACACCAAAAGTGCAACAGCAAGGCTTTAAAAAAGTTAAAGTTGAAAATTAAACAACCTTAAGGGTCAAAACAACAAGTTACAAAAACCAAAAATCTTAAGTCCCTAAACTCAAATTAAAATTAAACAACTTTAACTCAAACTTTTAAAGCAACCTAACCAAAATTAAAGTTTACCAAAAGTTACAATTTAAACTTACAACAACCAACTTTAAACAACAAAAAAAAAAAAAAATTAGAACTTTCAATTACAAATCAAAACTGAAAGTGAGCAAAACAACTTAAGCTTAAAAAAAAATAAAACGATTAATACATAACAACAGTTATTGTTGACCTTTAAGAAAATATCATTACGAGGTCATCAAAAGCATTAATTGTTATTTTAAAATCTTCAGCTGAATTTTAGTACTTGTTATTTACCTTACGGGCCCCAAAAGAAACAAATATTACGCTAAACCAATTGAATGAAGAATGGATTTTATTGCATGGTATCGAAATAATAGTTTGGAATGTTTAAGGCTATACGTTTCGCCTTGAATGTCTACCAGATCGGACCATAAACAACGAACATTATGCGAGGAAACACATTATCCTATGAGAATCAATAACATCCAGTCTTATATAATTCTTAAATCTATGGGGAAAATTTCTTTTTGAGATAATAGCTTCATATCAAGATGTAATCATAGTTTCTGATATTAAAAAGAGATGGTAAATAGGCTTAATCATGTGCGGTATCCGAAATTGTAACTTTCTGAGGACATTTGAAGCATATTATGAATCTTCGGTAGCTGATTGATCACATTGGAGATCTCAACTGACTGCTTTTCATTAAGTAAATAACTTCAAAAGTTGAATCATCTTATCTTATTTAAATAAAATTTTGTTTCATGTAAACAACGATTTCCACCACGCAATTAACTTATTTTAAAGATGTAAATGCCAAGTAAAGTAACATAAAATATGAACCTCTTCTTTAATAAAGTTCTACTATCTTCAATAATAAAATTTACTTCAACTTACAACTGATTTTTAGAAACCCGTTCTATTTTTTTGCTCCTGATCACTGTATAGCATGCTAGGAGTACGCCGATTATACAAAATCCCAATGTAGAAAATCCAAGGTGAGCTGTAATATTTACGCTTGACTTATTTCTTTCGTCATGAGTGGTACCTAAGAAAGAAAAAATAAAAAACAAATAGTTAATCAAAGCGTTATATGTTACAATGAAAGTATTACAATGAAAGAAAACCCAGTTTTTATAGCAAAAACTAATGAATGATGAAGTTGTTTTTAAAAATTTTTACATTCAATAAATTAGAATTAAACTCTCACTTTTCGCTAGTTTTTCGATTCTATCCTTGGAATGGTCTAAGTCATTAATACTCAAAATGTCGCTATTTATTTAGAGAAATATTTGAGTATGTGTTTCGATTGCACAAAACATCATCAAATGAAATGGTAGAAAAAATCGTATATTATTAATGGTATTTAATTACATGAAAAAAGCATAACCTGACAAAGCCTTTGTACCAAGGCAGCATTATTAGAGGCACCATGATGTTAATCAGCTGGATGGTAGCAAATAAATTTAACAGATTTTTGAAATAAAAAAAGCATTTCTTATTTTTTCAGACAAATTGTATTTAAATACATTCACATTAGTAATATTTTCCTTTTTTTTAAATTTGAAAGTACTCTTTCTCATTTTTCCCCAGGTCTTACAAATGCTAAAGAGTTTCATTAAAATTAATTTGATTGAAATTATAACAACATATTGTACTACCTAATGAAAAAAAGCTCTTAACTAATTACTTGAATAATTAATTAATAGAATTAAATATAACGTTTTTTCGTTCCCGTAAATATAACTAGTGATATTCAGAGTATATATATATTGCTAATTAATGGCATATTTAATTCTGTACTATTTATTTTAAACAGTACCCATAAAAAATTGACAATAAAATTCCTTAATCATATAGGTGCATAAAACATGTTAAAGGCAACGTATGAACTTTTCCAGTAAAATATTTGATCAGCCTGTTAGAAATCTTACTTAAAAAGCTAGTAAAATCAAATTTTAAAAGTAGAAATATCATAATGTTCATGCAGCATGTTTGCTTGGTGTAGGAAAGCTATTTGGCAAAATGTGTCACACCGATCTCCTTAACTAGTTTTCAGCTATAGCTGAAGACTGGAACCACAAACTGAGACTTCAGAATGGAAATAGGCTAGCTCTCTCATAATATAAAAGCACAAAGATAAGCAGTCATAATAAATACGCGATAATTTATTCTGCTGAATATTGAAGACCTATCCAACTGACGTAAAATTTAATGACATCGAAAGACTAGCAGGAAGCATTGTTGACAAATCTACAAATGAGATGCAGTGCTAAGTCCCAAAACCGATTATCCAATACCCGGAAAGATCTAATATCAGAACATTGGAATCAACAGCAATTTATTATTATTATTATTATTATTATTATTATTTTCTGTAAAGAGAGTAGCATATGCTTAATGCAACATGCATACACAGTACACATTCTTTCGTAATAAAATATGTGGAGGATTCGATTCTTAATTTCATTACGGCATTAAATAAAGCTTTTCCGTGTTGAAAAGAGCACAATTCATTTAATAACATAAATCTGAATGATCAATAATTTGGCTCCATAGCCCCCTTAATGCTCGCCATATATCTCAAATCAGAACGTTATACCAAAGTTTATGATTTATTTCATATATGCTGAATATCTTATAACCCTTACACCAATTGGGACAGCTTAATTAAGCAATACAGCTGCTTGCTGTCGCGGAGGTGGGCTGTTTCTCACAAAGGAGCATCTCCTTATACCAACCTGGTAAATAATTGTTTTTTTAGTTTTTGCTTTCATCACCACTTGACTCTGAATTCATGTCAGCTTGAGAAATGACTAACGCAAAAGATGCATAAATCATTTCTTTGTTTTATACATCACTAATTGAACATCAAACAGTATGGTGCTATTTTATGTCGACATTACGCTCGGGAATGATTACAGACTTCAGCCTACTGAGCTGCGATGTGTTGTGTCACAAGGGAAAATTAACAGAATTTCTAAAAATAGATTTTTTTAAATGATATTCGTGGGCCAAAAGATTACATTTAATGCTATTTTCATTTAAAGATAACTTTTTTTATTCTTATAAGCCTTAAGGGTACTCTTCCGTTATGCACCTATCAAAGTATGGCAGGTGATGAGCTAATGGCTATCATTTGCCGAACGTGTGTGCGTGTGTTTGTCATCTATAAAACTATTGTTATAACTAGAACATTCACGATTAAAAAGCCCGCAAAAAATGTGCATCGGGTGCATAACGGAAAAATACCGCCTGAAATAGTTATGTGGGAATTTATTTCATTGAGACTTAAATAAGCATATACAGGAAGCTGACGTAAATATAATAAAGAATAACCTTTAATACAATTCAGTCTTAACTTCTTCAGCATGCTACAAGAGTAAGACAAATTTTACTGAATAGCATGCCTTATATACTGTATTTCTCCCGCCTTTGTGGATTAGTGGTCAGCACGCTCGACGCGTATTCGAGAGGTCCGTGGTTCGAGTTCCGCGAGGGCAGTTCTCATTTTTCATCTCTCTTGCTGTAAAAAAATACTTAATGTCTCTACAGTGGCACCCGAACTAAAAAAAGTGGTGGATGATGATACTCCATCACCAGCATTTGGCGATTGGGTCCCCTAATCCCCAGTCACTCTTTAAAAAAAGGGGAACATATAAGGTATTTCTCTGTCTTCTTAGCATGCCTCCGTGGTTCGAGTCAAGGCGAAGGCATTGCTCATTTTTCATCTCTCTTGCTTTCAAAAAAAAATACCTAATGTCTCTACAGTTTTTAATCGCATATCTCATGATACGTCGCCAATAGTATATAGCGGTATCCCTAACCTAAGATGGTAGCTGCGAATGTGAAGGCTTTCAGATACCGAGAACCCAAAGCAAAATTTTTCAATTAATAGAATTCGTGAAAAAGTATGGAGGTGTGGTAATAACTGCAGATGATATAATAGAAGTATTCCGTTGTAAGGACAGTGCCCCAATAATCAGTAAACTAACGGACGGCAAAATCTCTAATATTTTTCCAAACCCATAGATCGTTTCCAAAAATAGTAAAACTGACAGAGAAGTTGTTGCGAAAGAAAAATAAATATTGACAATTTAGTCAGAATTCTTGAAACGAGAATTAGAGGACTTGAGCGTTGTAGTGAGCGAAAAAATATGTCTGTCTATAAAACTGTGAGAATAGTAACTTCTCACACCACGCAGTTTGCCAGCATCACAAATTTTAATCGTAATCGCGGAACTGCACGTGTGTATATAAGCACCGGTCACACTGGTTTCTTCCCTTCTTCCCTTCTGCGCCCGTGACCTTCCTGCAGTCGCTTGGCAATTAGCGACGCCAAACGTTGTGCGGTTTTGTGTTCCTGCATGTCGCGCTAATGGAGTTTCATCGTTCCTGATGTTTTCACATGGATTGTCGTCTTATTTTTGCATAAAAAGAAGCAGAACTAAAGGTTGCGATTTTTTAGATGAAAATGCTCAGTGTTAAAATCCATCTGTCACGATACCGTTCTAAAACATCTCAAGCAGATTATCTATAGGTGTTCGACTCCAGAATGTGAATTACCAGCGATGTGTGACCACGTGATTATTTTAAGTGTGTTAAAGAATACGAAAGTAAAAAAAAAGATCTTGCACATGTACAGCAATATTATGGGCACAGCACGAAATTAATATGAGAAAATTGCGACTGCATATATGTTCGATTGGACAGGATTGTAATTATCTCCGAGTAGTCACGTTTCGGCCATTAGCCTACTATTCCATTTTAATTTATTACGTTTACTGTTCTAAGTTATGATATTTTGATATTTTATATGTGTGTGATAAATGTTCCATATTTAATCCAGAAAATGTGTTTGATAAAATAAATGTGAGATTAGAAAAAGAAATTTGTGTCTCATGGCACTATCTGTAAGTCGACCTTGTCCAGATAGACTTTTGCCATCTGAAAGCTTTCGTCCCTTATAATCAGCTTTCAGTTTACGTAAGCGAGTGCCCATCCTCTTCTGGATGTGCCCTACACACTCTAGTTTTGACACAGTCACATCTTCATATGGTTTGATTTCTGTTATGGAAAGAAATGTTTTTGAATCACCATCACCAATATAATTGATGTATCTCACACCCCTTGCACTTTGAAGACCTCTGAGAAATTTTAACCATTTCTTCCATTTTGCTTCCATTGCTTCCATTTTGGCAGATGAACCGAAATGATTTCTCTTGCAAGTGCGAGAATGGGTTTTCTGCCACTCATCAAAGGCTTCACCAGATCGAGGACCCTTCCACAATTCGCATCCTTTGCATGCTAACCTCTACATCTACTAAACCTCTACATCGATAACTTTTCCACTCTCAGCACCAATAACCGTACATACACCAATCTGAGATGTATGGCCTCTTGTTTTCCAGGTGCCATCAACACTTACACTTATGTCTGTAGAATTACTGAGTGATACTTCTTCTGCTGCTGCATTTTTCATGCTTTCAACTGCAGTCATTTTTGTTGCCTTATTGATTAAGTTACAGATTCTGTCATAAGTTTTTTGCATCACAGGAGGATCTAAATCCATTATTCCACAAAATGTTTTTCAATGGTTCAAGACCTTGACCATACAAACGCATTGCATATATAATACGACGATTAATTTCTGCAATGTTCCTTTTCCCCCCAACAAGTTTAGTGTTGCTTGTCATCACAACATTTTTGCATCCTTGACATGTCAAGATCATTCTGGAACACAGACCTGCAGATCTTTTCGCAGTAAAGTTTAATTTACCATGGCATACCTTACACGTAGTGTTTTCTTCCAAAAAAGAACACAGATTATTTTTAACGACAACCGTGTTGCCATCAAATCGATTGCTTTCACTTGAAAAGTCATTGTCTGTTACATTTAACTTTGTACAAGAAGCACTTGTATTTAGTTCATCTGAATTTCGAGGGAAACTATGTGCAGCTGTAGTTTCACAAATAACAGCTTGGTTTGGGGAAGAAATAGAAAATCCATTATTTATTTCATTTGAAACTGTCGATTTACCAGTTCTGGTGAACTGGTTTCCATGAAATCGGCGCTTTTTTGAACGCTTTCCAGAAGCACGTTATAAAGCATTATCAGCCATTTTACGGAGCAGTGCACAGTAAGATAATAAAATGCTTAAAACTTACAATTATATTTAAATTCACCCACAAACTGTTCTAAAATCACAACTGATGATCATAAGTGATGGAAATAACAAGTGGAGTGATATGAAACACTTCTAAAATATAATGAAATGAAAGGAAAAAAGAGCAACAAAAATAAAACGCAAGAACGGTTAAAAATGTAAACAAACTACCAAAGAGTTGAGAAATAACATTGCTACTCCATAAATAGATCATTAAAAAATAAATCATTAGGCTTGCCACATAACACTTCGAGTAGAAACTGCTGACGCTTTTCGCTTGGACCTTTAAACCTTGTTTACATTAGTTCAGCTGATACATTTTCCTTCATGACTCATGAAATTGTACGAATTTTTGCTTGGGGTTTTTTTTTAAACTGCGCAGAAAGAATCAGGCTATAACATATATATTTTTGAAAAAATCAAAAATTTTGATAACAAATTACATTGAAAAGAAACAATGTTTGATAAAGTAAATAAATAAATATTGAGCTTTACTTTATAAATTTTGATTCCCTTAAGATCATAAACGCTTCATTATTTCATAAGCAACTATTTCAGATATTTTAATTTATAATTTCGACATGTCATCTTATTAGATTTAAAGTGATGATCTCAAGTCCGGAATTGTCGATATACCAACAAGATTGGAACACGGACTATACCTCTCTTATTTCTTGATACTAGTTATACGTTCCAGGGAACATAAACATCATTGGTTTTGATCATTCGTGGGAGCAACTATGAAGATTAGAGGTAATTGCAACAGACGTAGAGAGATTCAACAAATATTGTACAAAAAGCACAAACTCGGACATGCTGTCACTCTGAAAACGTTTTATATAATTCCGACATTCAAACGGAAAATTGGGCAAATACCAAGAAGTCATACTGAACATAATATTCAAATATAATAAGCATATAATAATAAAGCTTTTATGCACACATGTACCATCATTAATAAATGCTGTAAACTGTCTAAAGAGGCCAAAATGTTCCTTGTATGTTATAACGATATACCCAAATATCATTGCTCTCCCACCTGGATAAAGATAACAAAAAAAGAGAAGAAAAACTCTTCAGAAAAAGCAAAATAAATTACTATAGAGTGTTCTGAATGTCCTGCAGCGAGAAAATAACTCTCTTACCTGCTTAAAGCAGACGACAGAATCATCTAAAGTAGATTTTCTAGACAATGTTTTTGAATGTTGCACGCAACATGCATATAAAAAGTGTAGACTGTTCAGACAAGGAAATTCCCAGCATACTAAACAATGACGCCACCATTAATGAAACATTCAAAAGAACACTGAATGTTTTGCACAATGTGAAATGGTACGATACATTTATTCTTCACTGCAATGTTTAATCATAAGTGGTGCAACAGAGACCTTTTAAAAAAGGTTATAGCTCCATTTTGTGGAATGATTCCCTAGGCACCGAAAAAATTCCAATTCCAATTCCAATTAATGCATGGAAAGCGTGCAAAATTTAGAGCACATTTCGAAATAAAATTTCTCATAAGAAAACATAGATGAATTCAAACATTATAAAAACAAAACTGAATGGTAATAGCTTATGCTTAACACATTTTTACCATCAATTCATGGAAGTAATTCAGTAACCTTTTTCTCAAATATGAAGTTTTTAAAATACCCTTAGTTATATTATATGATAATTCGTGTCTATCTGATATAACGTTTCAGTATCGTTAATATCAATGGACTGGTAACTTTTATTTAATTATAAAGAATTAGAATTGTTAAAACATGTATTTCAAATTTAACAAGAATAAGAAGAATGAAAAAACTAAACAAGTTTTATCTTTTTATTATGTATCTATTTCTTTTTATCTTACCTAAAACGGTTTAGTTTTATTTATTTTAAAAGTGTAATATATGAATAAAATAATATAATTCATTTTTAGGCAGTAAATTCAAGCATTTCTTTATGGCATTTAGGAAAATGTGCAGAATATTTCTTAGTCAAAACTACGTTGTAGATCTGCAGAATATAGGTAGACATTAAAAGTATCAAGAAGGTGGAATCTTTACTATGAAATTTAGGTGTCTGTAGATAATTACCGAATGATTATAAAACAAAACATAATAATTTGATCTTGTGAAATGTTCAGAATACATTATTATATATCCAGTTTTCACACTACAACAAAAAGGCGGTAATTAAAACAATAGGCGAAAAGAGCTTTTTAAGAAATAATAGTTTATGTTAATAATATGCGTTACAGAAGAAAACATCGCGGACGAAAACGTCGTGGAGAAAACAACGCAAAGCGAAAACGTCGTGGTACAAAACATCTCGAAAGAAAAGAAAGCAAAGAGACATCGTGGTACACAATATCGTCGTCGAAAATAAAGCGGGTCAAAAGCTTCGCTGTTTAAAAAGATCGTCGTCGAAAATATCGTGGTAAAAAATAAAGCACATGAAAATCATCGCATGACGATAACATCACACCCATACGTTTTCAGGTTTTAAAAGTTATAAATGCATATTCGCATAAAGATTTGGAAGTGCAGGAAATATTAACGACACTTTAAGAATAAACGGAAACAAAACAAGATATTATTTTCACCAAAACAATAACAGATTAACAAACTTGAAAGAAAGTATTTTGATAATAACTAAGCGATTTTTATAGAGGTATCCTCATGCATTTTTTCATTTTCCTTCTCCTAAACATTTTTAGGCTGTATTTTTCCTGAAAAATTATGAGTAAAACTGTATAATAAAAACGATTAATTTATTCATAATCTTTGTTAATTAACTATGTAAATTAATTCTATTGAGTGCTATAAGTTGTATTAATTTTCTAAACTCACTTTCAATTTTTTCAATGCTTAAATTTCCTTCTGACTTTCATCCAAAAATATGAAACATAAAAGTAAAAATAACCCTCTTTCCTACTTTCGCTCTCAAGTAATTATGCAAAAATGCATTTGAAGCTTTTAAAACCTGAAAAAAGGATGTCTTCAATGTTATCGTCATCCGATGATTTGTAGGTACTTTATTTTTTATCACGATATTTTCGACGACGATGTTTTTAAACTGCGAAGTTTTTGAACAGCTTTATTTTCGATAACGATATTTTGTATCATGATGTTTTTTCTTTGCTGTCTTTTCTCCCACGAAGTTTTGTATCACGACGTTTTCGCCTTGCGCTGTTTTTTCGCCGCGACGTTTTCGTCTGCGATGTTTTTGCCACGATGTTTTCAGCGGACACCAATAATATGATCAAAAAGATATTTCAAATTCTTTGTTGCGAAAAATTAATGTTGTATTCATATAAATTAGCTATGTTCTTGAATGTTTAACTTCAAACTAGTATTTTTGCTTAAAATGAAGTAGTGGTATTTTACAAATACACAAATGTAAGAATATTATAGTTACAAAATTGCGTACGCATGTTAAATATGACATTCGACATTATCAATTCGATGTGATAATTCGATCCAAACTGGAACATATCAATTAAGTTCAGCCTTTCCATTTAATTAGTTAAGATGTTATATTCATGAACATTGAAAACTAGATTAGTTTCTTAAAATATTTAACTACTTTTGTGTAATACACGTATCCATATGAATAATTCAAAAACGCGTGGTGCTGTAGTATCAAAGAAATGCTTGCAGATACTTCTACATCATATGAATGTAATCAAATGTATTAGATGTATCGACAGAAAATTAGTAGAACGCCATTACAATAATGATACATTGTAAGGGTTTTATTTTATTCTAACCAGTTATTTTTAGTTGGACTTTCCTGTTGCTCCTGATTTCAGTTTTCTGCTGGAATATATATTTTGTATGACGTAGATGTAAATTCTCAACGTGTTTCTGAAACAGTATTTAAGATGCGTTTCAAGAGTTCAAAAGAGTAGTAGCAGACTCAGTTCCGATATTTATGCTGCGAGTTTAAAATTAGCTCTTTAGTTCGGTGTTTTACACCTTTCAGTTTATACTGATATTTCTGGGCTCGGCCTTGCAGTGTGCAGCCGATTTAGAGTTAGTTTAAGCTACGGAGCCAGTCATTAGAATTCTTAATTTACTAGTGATTTGTTACATTCTTATTTTCTGTTACGTACATACGAGTGGCGGTGATTTGTGAGCTCGGAGTGCGTGCATCTGGTTTAATTTTAGTTAAATAAAAATTTTATTTTAACCTTTCTTCTGCAATATTTTGTTCTTGAGACATAGCGAGAATCCGCTACTTAGTCTTCAACGTAAGGTCATGGGTTTATACTACAAAAGAATACCCACAGACTATATGACATAATTACAATCACAGAAAATTAGCTTTGAGATGAATCATATGAAAGAACGGACGTGTAATAAATAGTAAATACAAAAATGTTCTAAAAGTTGCAATAAACTTTGACAGTGAGCAAACACAAAAAGTAGAATATTATTTAAATTCATAACATGCATAAATAATTTAACTTATGCTGAATTGCTAGTCATAAATTAAAGACATTTTTAATCCTTTTATGAATTTTCTTCAATAATAGGAAATGTTAAATAAAATGTACGGTATGTGAGCTTACTTGAAACGGTTGAACTAGAATGATCTCCCGTGAGTTTCCAGACCATATTTAGAATTTCTAGAATGAAATGCAGAAGCTTTAATTAAGTATGGGGATAAAACAATCATTAACATGCAAAAAAGTACATCCGTTTTTATAATTCCATTATTATGCATTAATCTAAGGATTTCAACATCTTAATCAGGTATAAAACCAATGTTAGTTGTTGATGCCTACAGATTTTCATGGAACCTCATTTCCTAGGTATGCAAATAGGCTAACATCAGAATAAAAATCATATAACTCTTTAAACATATTTAAATATTTTCCTTCCCTTAATTATTACTAAAATTATAAAACTCAACGCTTTCAGATGAAGCATAAAAACTGATTGACATTCAGAAATTTATTACAACATCCATCTCCTCCGATGTGAAACATGAACAAATGTAATAATAAAATCATTCTATGCAATGATGTATGACAGATGTTACGATTAAATAATGATGTGCTTGAGGCTCTTCGGGTTTCCAAAAATGTTATATTCGTAGCAAAGCTGTTATGTATTAAAATCCAAAAATCTTTAGAATACTTCGAAGGAATATGCATCTATCTATTATAAATCAATAGATTTATTTCACTTCTTATGCTTGTGACAACAGCCCATCTCAGGGCAGTGAGACATAATTAGGGCATTTTAACGAAAGTATTATGTTGAAAATAAATGTTTCCTTATGCATGCCTCTTACTGATGTAATAAGAGAACCTGTTGTATTAAACAATGTAATTATTATGAAGTACATAATGTGCACTAATTTAAGGGGAGCCACGAGAGGTACTGTTTTCAACAAAGAGCTAAAAATTATGGAAATAAAAAATGGAAACCCTTTTTCCCCCAAAAAAATTTTATATTCTACGTAATGCCAATTTTCCAGCCTTTCAATAATTCCACATATTTCTGCTTTGGTAGACATGTTGCAGATATCTCTAACTAAATGAAAATGCTCCGAAAAAGCGTTAGATCGCTCTCCTATGTGACGAATGGCTAAAATGTAGCTAAAATTCATCCCTCTTTGAGTAAGACTGTGTTATTATATTTATTAATTTTAAAATAACTACCGCTGGGATGGCAACCAATTCTGCATGACTTCGTCCCAGATTGATTGCCATCTCGGCAACATAATGCAACAATGTATTTCACATTTTAAATTGAACTACATTAATAAAAAACGGAACGAAAAGCCGTACCAGGAATTTATCTGCAAACAGATGTATATTTTATTTTATTTTATTTTGTTTAACATTTCATTTTAAAAGATTTTTCCGAGCGACGAAGAAAGTGATGATGTTCTTCAAAATTATTTTATCGGCTGCACAATCAATTATGAAATGTAACTTTAGATAACGTAACTTTCCAAAACTCCTAATACAATTGACAACAATTGGTGAGTCATACTGGATTTTTTTCATTTGATTTAATGAAGAATATTCACGGAAGAATTATTCTACTTAGAGCAGAATTTTTCATCTGATCTTGAAAATGTAACTGCTTTTAAGACAAAGACACCCGGATTCTTTTAAGAAAGCTGTCTGTATATTAGATTGTATGCATAAGTTAGAATTGTTAATTTAATAAAGGCGAAAATTTTGTAAGCGTTTATTTTCTCTTCAATATGAACTAGTACCGTATGTTTTCTTTCCGTACTGAGATCACGGGCGTGCATAGTAGGAATGAAGGCGTGCAAAGAATATTATTACTTATATAAAATTAGCAAAGCAGCAACCTTGTGTTTGGCGTAGTTTTAGTCAAGATCTCAATCGATTTTGAGGGCAAACAGGTACAAGTCCCTCTTCATCAGGAGCAAAGAAATCTGCAAGACATGATTATTATTGAGATCTTCACTAAATCTACTCCAAAGACAAGGTCGCATTGTTGTTGTTATTAGTCTCGCTTATCTGAATCAAAGCAAGCCACGAAATCCATCATATCAAGCACACAAGATTTCGCTTGTCGTTGGCAAAAACAGGTGCCAGTCCGCTTTCCCGTTTGAAGGGAAGCTCCTCTGGCGGACGGGTTCGAGAGTCTCTCACCGTTTTTCCCCAGCATTAATCTGCCGAAACGACTTTGACTGGCCTCATATTTTGAGTACTTCCATACCGTTCAGACACTAGACATTTACAAACATCCGCGCCTTCTCAGGGATTCGAACTGGAGCCCTTCGTCATGCCAGTGAGAGTCGCTAACCATCGTCCCGGTTGGGCGGCACACAAGGTTGTTGTTTTGCAAATTTTATATTTCCTTTTTGCGTGTTTCTCTTCTGATTTGGCCTTACCTAAACTCTGGATTCTGTTCTATACTATCCTTTACATGGAGTGAGGAATGATTACATCTTTTGCACTTTACGCAATAAAAGTAATGGATGAAAGAGGTGGCCATATGCTGTAAGCAGTAATTATTATTACAGTTTTCGGATTCTGAAATCGGCGAAGAGCAAATTTGTAGAGGAAAATAAAATGCGAGATTACTATTGTTTTTCCCCCTATTACCTCTCAAGCAATTATTGAACGTCTTATTATTACGAACTATAATCATAAATATAATTTTTAATCATTTTAGAAAATCTTTTATAATTGTGATTAAAGCTCTAATTTTCTTATATAAATAAATGAGTCAGGGCCGGCCATAGGCGGTAAAGCGAAATATTATTCGGGTTTGTTGACTGTACTCCCGATGCGAGTAAGGTTGAACAAATGACATTTGCAGTACGATATGTTTCCATTGATCAACCAAAAGAGGGATTTGAATGCAACATTAATGAACATTCATGGGTTTATTTTCTATTAAAAGATCTACTGCTAAGAAATTATCTCAAGTTTTATTAGAAGAGTTGCAGAAAAACGAATTAAAATTAGAAAATATGACAGGTGAAGTTTACGTCAATAATTTAAAAATGAGAGGAGAGAAACTGGGAGTACAGTCAAGAATCCCAGAATCTTGCAGCAGTCATTCATTAAACTTAGTAGTTAACGATACGGTAAAATATTTCTTTGGAGGTGGGGTATTTTTTAATACAGTTCAAAAGCTACACACCTTTTTTTTTTTTTTTTTCATTGTCGACGTTTCAGTGGGACATATTAAGGGGACATCAGTGGGACATCTTAAAACTCTTACACTGAAATCATTGAGTGACTTTCTTTGGGGAAGTCGTATAGATTCGCTAAAACATTTACTTTTTGAAAAAGGAAATATTTACGACGCTTTATTACGTATTTATGAAAGTGTAGAAATGAATGATATGATTCGACCTGAGGCCAATGGTTTATTAGCATAATAAAACAATTTTATATTTTTACGCTCGGTCGCTATAAAATTTTGAATCATTTTAATCCGATACGTAAGCTACTTCAATCAAACGATTTTGATTTATACCAAGCCATTATTGATGTCTTAAATATCTCATTAACGTTTTTCAAAGAATTAACATCGGATGAATCATTTGACAAGTTCACTTTAGAAGCTGAAAAATCAGCTATAAAATAGACGTAGAAAAACTTTGACTACTACATTGACGCTAATATTAACCGTTTTTCATATGAAAGTGTACAGGAATCTATACAAGATTCAAAAGAGAAATATAAAATATAATTTTTTTGTTTACTACAAATCAGGCGATCAATGCACTGGAGCTGAGATTCAACCTATTGAATAATCAAAACGATTCTTTTAGTACCCTACGCACAAACTAAAAGATGTGTAAAAATGAATTATTGGTACATTTTAAAGATCTGGAAAATGTCTTAACAGATGGTGATTCCTCCAGTCTTATCGTTTTAGAATTGGATGGCGAAATAGACCTTGTTTCTTCGCTTTCAAAAAATAAAGAAGGTTCACCTGACATTCTTAAATTCATTACCTTCCTCATCATCGCGCCAAATTTAGTTTTAAGAATTTTGCTAAACATGACCATAACTGTTGCTGCTGGTGAATGATCTTTTTCTAAACTAAAAATAATAAAAAATTACTTAAGAACCATGTCTGATCAAAATCGTTTTAATGGAGTAGCAGTATTGCCCGTTAAAGATGAACTGAACAATAAATTAGATCTGAAAGATGTTTTTCATGTTTTGTCGAAAAAAAGGTTCGAAAGGGATTATTTTAATTTAGATTTCAACTCCGTATACTGTACTAGTATTCTTTATTTTTTGTTGTTTTAAAAATATTATTTGTACTAGTTTTAGTTGCAAAATTTGTGTGTTTTAAAAATAAATAAAATTTCGTAAATATTGTATGAGTGTTATAATCTTAATTCAATCAGATTAAACCGTATTTTTTGGTAATTATGTTTTTATAGATTTGTTTGTTACTTTTAAAGCTTATGGGGTAGCGCTTTTGAGGCTTTCCCTGAAGGTTTGCCCTTTTGAAGCGAAAACGCTAAGGCCGGCCTTGAGTGAATATGTATATATTCTGCACAGAGTTTAAACCAAATACATGAAATTACTAACTAACCTTCCCGGCATTCGGCATCACATGGACATTTTCCATCAATGGGGTTACAAGTGGCGTTATTTGAACAACTGCAGTTGTTTTTACAGTTCAATCCAAATAATCCAGGGGGGCAAACTGTGGATAAAATTACAAAGTTAAAGCTAAGTAAAAACATTCTTGAGTTGCATTATAAAATATTCCATTTTTAATTGTAAATAGTATTCTGATCCGTATGCTTTCCTAATTAAAACTGATAAAAGCCTTTGTTCTGCAGAAATTCATATTACTACTAAAAATTTATTTGTAGCAAAAATACAACTTACTTGTAGAACAATCATCTCCCATCCAACCTGCTAAGCATATGCACTGTCCTGTCGCTGGATCGCAAGAACCAATATTACAACTGCAACTTTTGTTACAATCTTTGCCCCATTTATTCTCAGGGCAAGCTAAATCAATAATAAAACACCAATCATTAATTTTCAAAATTAATATCTTTATTTTTAATATACCGCTTAAAATGTAATAATTTAATAAAAATTTTCAAAAAATAAAATTTATACAATCGAACTTCTGTGATTGCATGCTTCATTAATGTACATCTCCTGAGTTTCTAAACACTTGAAGTAGGAGAGCAATGTTTTCACATTTAGCAAGTCCGCTTGATAATAGAAAAAAGGACGTGAGTTTTCGTAAAAGAGAGGTTCGGCGGTAGTACTTAATTAAGTAACAGAACAAAATTCTGCCATTATAAACTTAGATTAATATACAGAATCTCTTCTCTTAGGCAAACTAGATGGTGCCAGCTCTTAGGCAGTGCTTTCTCTTGAAGCTTCAAAACTTCTTTTCTCGCTCTGGCTAGTCATGTTTTGACCTTTCGTTTTACATTTCATGATTCTGCCTTGGAATACTATTGTTAGGTAGTTTCTACTTTCATCGCCATTATGGGCACTATACTTCATCCAGCTAGAATCGTAACAGCTAGTATCATAACATACTAGTTAACTTATTTGCTAACTAATCTCGGCACTCAGCGGAACTTGAACTCTCTGGGTTATTTTTCCTCTGTAGTGTTATGCTCGCACGCGTGAATGTACGCTGCAAAATACGTTTGGTATCTTTTCGCCCTACGTCGATTCGGCGATAAAGTTTTTTCAGCAAGTTCTCGTGCTTCTTCACATAATAGCTCATATTTATACTTGTGAACGAAGTCGAGCAAACAATGCATTTTGTTTAAAAATAAGCTGGCCATTTTTCATTCAACTCCTATACTGCAAGCATAACATAATTAGTGACATTTGCGATGTTTCAAGATTTCACTTCTTTCAACATCCTGTTCTTCTACGATACATTCCCAAATATCATTACGTGTCCGATGTTAGCTAGGTTTCTTGTGGCCAAATATGTTACGGAAATTATATTACGATATTAATGTTCTTACGTGCTTAACTGGTGAAAGTATGTATCTTTTATCTAATTTTAGGTTATTAAAGCACACCAGAATTAAATCTTCATTTTCTCCTCGTTCAGAGTTATTACGGCAGCAATAAAGAAAAATAATTAAGTTACCTGTCTCTATAATAATTCACTAACATTTAGTACCGTGAATCTTAAATTTTACAATAAAATGCTTAGCGAAAGCTGAGATACAAGTTGGCATTTACTTTTGAAACCATAAAAATCAGTCAAGGGTCGGAGACAAAATAGTGTAATCCACAAACACGGTTATTTAGATGTGACTTATGGTGTAGTCCCGTATATCTGGTATTTTTGGATACTTTGATATTAAACAGATAATAAATTACATGCTTGTGATCAAAATGGTAACTTCCAAAACAATTTATGCGACTCGCGAATACATTTTAATTATGTATTTGTTGTAATAGAATGGCGAGAGATTTATATGGTTAATGAAACAATAACTAAACCAGTCAACTCTATCCGCAGACGATCTCTATCCTTGGGGTTGTGACATATCCTGCAGAAACAAAAAATGAGTGCTGAAGAATTATTTACAGGGTTGCCACTCAAACAGGAGAATGAAATTCCCTGACTTTTCCAGGTTTTCCAGGTGTGTTTCAAGAAAATTCCAGTCTATCCGCCTAATGTACGTTGGCTGTGCTAAGAGGTAAATTAATTATGGTATTACTTGTATTGTGTAGCAAATTCACTTAATTATTCAATAAATCCCAGAGGAATTTATTCTTAATTATTCTTGGTATACTTTGTTTGATAATTTTGTTTAGTTTTCCACTTAATAAAATTTAAGATATATACATTGGATAACAAATGTATGTTTTATTTAATTATTACTCATGATCATCACCAGTTCAAGACGAGGCTAATCCGGTCCTTATAAATCACAACGCAATGCTAAATAGTTAGGTTAGATTTTAGGTAAATTTAATTTGCGTGAGGTATGTTCTTAAAAGGCACCTTAACACTTGAAAACACAAATATAATTATAATAGGAGTTGTTTTCTCCACTGAAGATTGAGATTAGAATCTTCCCAATTTGGAACAAAATAAGGCTTTTTTTTTTTTTTTTTTTTTGCAGACATTCTGCAGCTAAACGGAAGAAAGAAATCTAAATAAATAATTGAGGTATTTTATATTTATTTCGCATATTCGTTAATAAATTGAGGTATTTTATATTTATTTCGCAGCATACATAAGGAAAAAATATGTGCATTAAATTTCGTGATGGTATGTCATCATACTGCTAGAATTAATTTCTGGATTATGCCAGAGAAAATTTCCTGAAATTTGGAAATATTATTTACTAATAATAAATAAATTTAGAGGGAAGAAGCAACATTAAATTATATGAATAACATAAAAATAATTACTTAAAAATTGAATTAGAATAATCAACGATATTTTAGCGAATATAGTTATATTACATGGCTAGCCTAGATGACTGATTACTATTTTTTTATTTTACTGCAAAATGGCAAGGTATTTATTAAAAAGAAAAAAAAAAAAAAAAAAAGTTTTTAAAAAGATTTGCGGTAAAATTCTAGTATACGGTAAGGTTTTGGCACGATTTTGAAAATTGTCGCCAAGACCAAAATGACCCGTTTACTGCACATCATGATGTCGCCAAATCTCATTATTTTCTAACCAAAGAACGTCTATGTAAAGAAGAAAAGGTTCCATACAAGTAAATGCTTACTATTACGCCGTTAGAATGCGGAGGAAAAATTTGCCAAGGGATTTGGCGACGGAACCTGGCGGCCATAATTTCCCTCTCCGCGATGTGTTCAGGAAATTGAGAAACACGTGTTAAGAAGAAGAAACGCTCTTTGACAAAAAGAAAACTACGAAAATCCGTTTTTAAAATTATTGTGAAAAATCCACGCAATAATTTTAAAAACGGATTTTCGTAGTTTTTTTTCCCCTGAAAAATAACTAATCCATGAATTAATTTACTTGCGCCAAAAAATATTTTCTTTTCCTTTAGAGTTTAACCCCTTGCGCTAAGACTAAACTTCACGGTTGCGGTGCCGTGCGCTACAATATAACAAGCGGTAAAGTGTCTCATTTAGCCGCTCCGCATCTGCGAGTGCAATCCAGAGCTGTAACTCCAGAAATAAACAATCTCGTTGTTAGGCGACGTGTGCACCACGTTATTTTCATTTTTGCGATAAATGTTTATCGACGTGGTGTTCACATCGCTCACGGTTTGAGACAGAAGCATCTCGACGTGCGTGGCACGTCTTTTTAGCGCAAGTCGTTAAAGAAATTTTAAACGATATTCATTTTATGAACTCTTGATAACGTGACCTTCGAACTTCGACACCGGTTTCGAGCTTTGGCAACAGATATACCAGACATGCACAGCTGTTTCCCTCTATGATGGAACGGAGCCACGTCTGTTGCAGAGAGGTTTTCCTTCTTTACAATACATATTCTTTGATTCTAACCGGGAAAGTTGCTCTGCCTTTCTAAAAGACAATCAAATTGGAGCTGCGAAAATTGGCTCTATGCCAGCTACCCGAATGACACTCACGTGATACATAATTCGCCAAAAAAGTTATCTCTTCCGACGTTGGCGCAAAAATCGCTTTTTTTGGCGGGATCGTTGTATGAACTTCCCTGACTTTTCCAGATTTTGACAAAAATACTTAAATTCCCTGACTTTTCCCTGAATATTTTGGTCAATTTTCGAATTCCCTGACTTTTCCCGGTTCTCCCGGTTTTCCAGGTAGCGTGGCAACCCTGTATTTAGTATAACGAGATGAGGTAGTTATGTAGAACAGCTGCATCAAAACAGTTTTATTCGATTTGATAAATGAAATCAAACTTTTTATGATACAAAAATAAATAAAAAAATACAACCATTGACAAGCTATTTAATGATACATGGATAACATATTTATCATTTCTTTTTGACCGGACATTTAAATATTCGCAATAAACAGCTGCAAGGAAAGAATAAATTTATCATTCACATGAATGCTTGTATTAAATCTTTTAAAGTGAAATTTGAATTACGAGAAACACAACATAAATCATAATATTTTATTTATGTCCTGTACCTTAAATCCTTTTTCAATGAAAAATCTCAAAAGTATGCAAGAAATACAACATTATTATGAAAAGAATTCGTGTTCATTTTAATGACCTGCAGTCCAATATTACATTATTTTCGTTACCATTAAAACGAACATGAAGATCTACAAATACATGAACATGAAGATCTAAAATCATCAGAAGATCTACAAATGCTGATGCATTGATACAATGTTGCTCAAAGATTTGGAGACACAGATTTGATTACCTATTACTTGCACAAAAAAATGAATAACCTTAGTTATGATTTTTTTCAGTACGAATAATCACTTTGTTTAGGAATACATTTTTATGTGAACAGTGTTCTCTGCAGTATAAAATTGATAAGTCTGAAAAAAAGCCTGATAACTGATGATATGATGAATATCAGCTATCCATAAGGAACATTGTTTCTAAAAATATTTCTCAAAGGTTACAAACTTTACCAAAATCGAAATGTCGTTTCGTCTCAATAAGAAAGAAGTCTGGGTCGTCACCTGTTTTAAATCACACATTTGTCTCTCTTGCAATTTGAATTTGAACCATGTTTCAGCCTACCTAACAATTACCATACTGTAACGAAAGATCTTAAAGGAATATTTAATTTATACTTAAACGTATTTTGAACATGATTATTTAAGTAAAACTATTCTGCGAGTTATTACCATCTTAATTCCTAGTCGTTCACATATTTTTTTAATGTATAAAAACAAAGAAAGCTACTTTGTACATATGTAACACACTGAAATATCAGCTCAACTAACGAAGAAAAAATTTCCAACTGCCCCGCAGATGACATGAAATCAGGATACGAAAATGAAATGAAAGCTTGTTCTTTCCCAGATCATTTTATCCCTACGTACAGAGTGATTATAATTAAACTGACCCTACTGAGACCTATGCAGGGCATATAAATTTCGTTGAAACACATTTCGTATACTTATATATTTCGTTGAAACTTGGTATACACGTTATATAGACCATCCGATAAAGGAAACTGTAACAAAAATAGCAGTTGAAATTTCGATCACCAAATGAAAACACATCGTATAGGAAAAAGAAACATAAACTGGAACGCGTAATATTTTTTTCTCATTAACAGCTATTTGTCCAACATTCAATTCATTTGTGTCAATTATATGTTCAAGAGCAAGTTATACTATGTTCTGTAGTAATACGAAGGGTTCTATGAGGAACTGCAGCAACATGGCACGATGTGTTTGTATTTTAATTCAAATGCGGTGTCAGTGAACTTCCACCAGTACTTCGATGCAACAATGCGAAGGGTTCTTTGAGGAACTGCAGCAATATGGCATGTTGTGTTTGCATTTTAATTCATGCGGAGTCAGCACTTTTCTTCACAGACAAGATCTTTCAGGAATCCCCACAACTAGACGACACGGCAATTCATCATGGGATAACGAGTAGGTCAAGCATTCCGAAAACTTTGTAAAACTACTCGATCATCTCCACAATGAGTACAAAACAGTTCTTTCACATTTCAGTCAGTTTAAAACTCTGCATCATCCTAAATGCAGACGTTTGCAGTTAGTTTACAGGCATTCGTGACGGGGCACCTTTCAGTGCCTTAATTGGAATTCTCCTCAGAGAGATAGGGTCCAAAGATGAAATCAGCAACAAACTTATACCACTTATTATAGGAATGTACAGCCTACTCATTAGCACACCATTGGGATTTTTAGTACCGCCTGCTGTATTTATTTCTTCATCTAGAGCAACATGTGCCTCAGCTGACTGAAAAATCAATCATATATCCTGTTAATATCTATTCTCGTCACAACCAGCAAGCAAAATAGTGCCTTTTTCTGGTTTTGAGGTTAGAATATTTACACTATGTGGATATTATACAGATAACATTTTGAAACTAATTGTAAAACCTTTCGCACCATACATACGCAAGGGATAGAAAAATTAAGTGACATCGTTCAAGCGCTTGCCGAAAAATATTGGGAAGGGGACGATTTTTTAACAAAGCAACTGGATAGCAACTTTTCTTTCGAAGTGTGAGTCAACTACCAATGATAGAGCTGTTAAATTTTTCAGGTAAAATAATTTGATATTCTCTATAGTTTTTAATATCAATTTATTAATTTTGAAATTAAAAATAGGCACGAAAATAAGTGTTCATTCATTCAGTTCCGTTTCACATAAATAAGTTCATTATAAAATCATGTGCAAATCAGTTTAAAACTCTAAAAGTATGAAAGGCATATGAACAGACCTCTTACCTTTATCACATCCAGCGCCTTGCCAGCCAGGGGGACAAAAACATTGACCAGTTATATGATCACATGCTGTATTTTTCTTACAATCACATGACTTTTCACAGTTGGCACCCCAATGAAAAATAGAGCACTTCTGTTCGCATCTTTCTCCTAATAAAAATTAGAAAATTCTTTCAAAACTTCACCAATAAAATTACACGTAAATAATGCTTCTAAACAAAATATTATTTGTGATGTAAGTATGAATAATACATAAAATATTACAGAAATCAACTATTTTAATTAAATATCTAAAAGGCTGCTGAAAATGAAGAAATTTCTGCCATCATGCAGTTACATTATGCTGTCTCAATATATATAACTCTAAATGAATGCAATGAATAAAATGAATGCTTTATCCATTTCTAATGAATAAAATGGATCTAAAACTCTCAATTTATGTTATAACATACATAAACGTAGAACGTACAGCGATGAATAAATACAAACATTATACTTTTTTATCATAACAGTTTTCATAATAGTGCACTTAATATTAATTGGAGATCAGATGCCTTTAAATGCACGAGCAATTGCCACGATGAGCAAATTTTGAAGCTCGATGGCATTAGCCAACTGATTTCGTATACTTCTTCCTATATCTTTGATTATTTTTGCCCTTTTTCATGTTCCAAATGCTAACTGTTTTGAATAAAATAAAAGGAAAATACTTCCTTCGTCATCGACATGAAATTGTAATACGTAGAGAAAGAAACTTTTGAATGCACTAATCCACTAAATTTTTCTGAATTTTTTTCTAAATTAGAGAAGTAATTTTTAAATAAAGTGACCTGCTTTAAAATGTATCGAATTATATGTTCCTAAAAATGTATTTATTTATTTATTTTTGTGCGTGTTAATGTAATATTAAAAGCAATTTCTAAAATTTTTATGTGGGAGGGATAATAGTCAATCAAATCACATTGATGTAAGGTTTATGCAATTTTTCAACATTTCTTCATACACTCAATATGTCTTCATACATTACTCACTATTTATATTATATAAAATGCTTCGAGAAATAATGCGCATAAAAAGAAAAATTATAACTTTCAGAGATTTGTACTTGAAGGTATAACTACTTATAAATAATGTAAATGCACAGTAATTTTTTAACACTGATAAGAAATACAAAAATGCATTTATAAATAAAAGTTTGTAAATATGCATAATATTATATTTAAATAGTATTTCATACATAACACCCATATTTTCGTTTTTGAAACAATGAATTTTCATACAATTTGAAATGTATAGTTCTGAATGTTGTTATATTTCATACATAGCAAATAAGCATTATACGCTATACATAACTGCTGGAAATTTCGTCCAATTCTAATTTCATGTTCAGAGAAAGAATCCACGTAAACAAGTTGAATATCTCTTACACACGTATTTGCTAATTTAAATTTCAAAATCTCTTCTTGGCTGCATTTGTGTTGCTTGTATAGCGAAATTATTTTAGTTCTCTAGGATGAGTATATATTTTGCACAGGTTTTGGTACTATTCTATGCTGGTTATTTGTATTAATATTTCTCATTTGAGATTTACTACTTTTTCTGTGCAATGGATAAGTACAGATTATCTTGTATTAGTATTGAGCAGAGCGCAAGTGTTTTCTACTGCATGTTTTCCCAAGAAGTGTACTCTCTAATTTATGAATTACCCTGGTAGTTACCTAGCTCATAGCTTCCTCCTTCCTACTTGCTATGTGTTTTTCATTTTGGGGACTTCAACTGATTGTTATTCACGTGATGTGACCATGAGGTATTAACTGAATTGGCTTATTAAGGGCAATATTTCTTGTCCACATAAGCATAATCTTTCGACTACTGTCTAAAGTTTCACTTCAGGTTGATCGATAGTAAATTAGTCAGAATTCAACCGCGGGGAGATCGTGGCCTATCAGGACTGCGTATATCGTTTTGCTAAATTGCTGCTTGTTTTGTCAGGCTTCACTTGACTGTTAGGGGTATATAGAATCGATGGCTCCTGCAGGACCATACTGAATGCCAAGTAGGATATCAACAGCCGGGGGTTGCTAACCACCGATATGGCAGGCACGGTGCCCTTAAGAACTTGTGGGTTCGCCGAGCCACGTCACGTACCCTTAGTCAAGAACTTGTCTCGTGTTCAGGAAGAAAAGTGCCCGCACACACAGTGCGACGCCATCTGCAGCACCACGGGCTGTCAGCACAGCGGACATAACTGTTTCCCTTGGCGCGCCTTCAGTGCTGTGACGAACGACGACTCTCAATAAAAAAGAGGCACTACATCGTGTTTTCAGAGAAATTTCGATTCTGTGTACAGCACGATGAAGGACGCCTTCGTGTATTGAGGCACTGAGAAGAAATAAAGTTGGTATCTTGCATGCGTTATTGTCATATTGATCTTTCATATGATTGTCTATCATATTGTCTCTTGCATGCGTTATCGAGGCCAACACCTCGACTGCTTTTATGAGTCACACATAAATGTGTCAATGTATCACAATCAATGTCACATAGTCTGTAATGTGGACAGCCGCCATCGTATTTCTGATGTTTTAACGGCCGTTGTTGCTCTCTATCTTCGAGGCATGACACTATCTTTCAATAAGATAATGCATGACTGCATGTTGTCGTGCCGTCTCGACCTTGTTCGAAACAGATGGTGTTCAAAAGTTTCCCGTCGAAACAGATGGTGTTCAAAAGTTTCCCGTTCTCTAGATGCCTTGCATCCCGAGACGTTCTTCAGATCTTTCAATAATTGAGAATGTCTTTTACTAGGCTGCCAAGAAGCTGAGACTGGTGAAGAAGAAATGATTGGCGAATACCAGCACTCGTCAGTCATTACGGTTGGGGAACTCTGGAACAGACCCGAAACCGCATAGAATAAAATTCCCAAACCTGACATCCAAGCTCAATTCGACTCGATGTCCAACCGCATTACAGACGTTGTTGCTGCTACATGTGACAGCTCTGTGTACTGATTTCTGCACGCTACGTACCTAAACTGCTTGCAAATTTTATCTTTTTTCTCATTATACTATACACACTAGTTATCATAAATTAAGGAAAAATCACAAAAATAGCGATAACTCCCTCAAAAATAAGCCAAACCGTGTAAAATTTCAATATGTTACCCAGTGAGAGTAGCTGAGTAAAACTGCAATATGCAAATTAGTGGCGCTGCACTCGGAATACGTCATCTGCGAGGAGAGTAAGAGTCCATGTTTGAGAACAAGCCCACATATTTCACTGTGATAGTGACATCAGAAATGTGAGATAGCCAATTCGTAACAATGACCTCCAGGCATCATTTGCCAGCAGAACTACGATGGAAAGCCATTGGGAGACTAGAGGCAGGATAAAGTCAAAGAGAAGAGGTCAGATGGCTAAAATGTGAGTCCTTCTGTGGTTCATAGACTTTGGAGATGATTTCAAACCACAGATTCGGCATCTAGGAGGTTCAGCCAAGGACGGCCAACTGCTACGACGAGCGCCGATGACCGATATTTGACATTATGTGCACGCAGGAATAGAACCGATACTCTGACTCTTCTTAGATCCTCCCTTGCTGCAGTCACCGGAAGGTTGGTGTCAACGTCAACTGCGCGTAGAAGGCTTCACAAAGGTGATCTGTATGCGAGACAACCAGCCATTTGCGTGCCGCTCACGTCACGCCATAGAAGGGACCGTTTGCAATAGGCACGACAACATGTCCACTGGACGCCTGATCAGTGGAGAGCTGTTCTCTTTACGGATAAGTCCAGGTTTAGTCTAGAAAGCGGTAATAGGCGTTATTTGATATGGAGAGAACCTGGAACCCGTTATCATCCGTCAACATCCGTTAAAGAGATGCATACAGAAGAAGCAGTGTCTGTGTTTAGGGTGGCATCTCTTTGGGTGGACGCTCCATGTCTTTCCAACGGAAACCGTGAATCTCCGGTTTATAGAGATGACAGCTTTGATGCTTATGTGCGCCCATGTGCCGGGGCAATAGGTGATGCTTTCCTGTTACAGGACGATAACGCAAGACTACACAGGGTTCGCATCTTAGATGATTATCTTTAATAACAGGAAACAATTGTGGGCATAGAGTGGCCAGCTCGATCCCAGGATTTGAATTCTATCGAGCACGTTTGGGATGCTTTAGAGAACGTCTAGCTGCTCTCAGTCCGCCCCCTCAGACCTTTTCCGCGCTTGCAAATGCTTTGCTAAAGTAATGGCTCTCGCTTCCTATGGAATTAATAGACCGCTTAATTGAAAGCATCACGCATCGCTGTATATGCCGTATTGCTTCCAGAGACGACCATATTCCATATTGAAGGTACTTTTACTATAGCAAATTGACACCTTTGATTTGTTCATTTTATACATGTACTAATTTCTATACTACCATAATTGTCTGGTAATTTATATTTATGTTATTTGATACCTTACTATGTGTTGTATATTGTGGGTAAGTTTCATAAAATTCTACATGCAACTTTTTCAGTAATCGTGATTTTTGTGATTTTTCCTTAATTTATGATAACCAGTGTATATGGAACAAATAAGATTCTGCTGTTTGCTTTCCTTTCAGATATACTAATTTTAATGGCCAGCAGTGTATACACAGCCCAGAATGTTTCGGGTACAAATATATGGTAATGTTTAACAGAATATACAAATTTCCACTGGGCAGCCTTATGTTTGTCTTGTGTTGTAAGTAAAATGTAAGGCTTTAGTTAAATTGTTGACATACATACTGAATAATTTATAAATGTTGTTTTACTTACCAGTATAACCCGGCAAACAGAAGCATTTTCCATCAATTGGGCGGCAAAATTCAGTTGTGTCCACGTTGCAAGTGCAACTGAGCATGCACTTCATACCATATTTACCTTCCTAAAGGAAAAAAAAAATGGGTCATTTACTCAGAATAAAATTTAATGATCTGCACACTATTGCAAGTTTCCGTTTCAATATGTCTAGCAAATCATTCTAACTTACGTAAAGTATAAATTTAATTTAAATATCAGTTATTATTTCTAAAATGGTATTTAACTATGATGTTGCATTTAAAAGAATCGTTCATTAATGAAAACGCATATCGGTTACAAGTTGTGTATTAAAAAAAAAAAAATTAGTGTTTCTTGTGAAAAAATTCAATAAGTTTGCATACATAGAAAAGATTTTTAAAACAAAATAGCGAATGTTGTAATACACATTTCAATATCATTATGCAACTAAAACAATACTAAACATCTGAGACACTGAATCTCAGACAAACAAACACTAAAAATCTGATCTCTGTGGAATTGTGCGTAGCGATACTGAATTATGTGACAAAAATGTAAAGGAAGGTCAAGAGGAGCCAGAAATAAGCAGGTTTTGAGACATAATGTGTGTGTGGAAACGACGCGTTGTTAAGCTCTGTTAATTGCTAATCTGTTAATTGCTAAGTAGACTAACTTCCCATGCAGATTTCAAACGCTTATATACACTGCAAAAAGAAAAAAAAAAGAGAGAAAGGGGGCAGTTCTATATATTCCTTCTATATCTTTTTCATGTCTCGAATAGGATATATATTAGATTTATATATAGCTAATATAGGTATTTTTAATATAGGTGTCTAATATAGGTATTTTGACACAAAATCGGTCTTTTTATGAAATGGCATGCCATTTTTTTCCATATTTCGATTCTGCAACTCAAATTTTACCTAAATAAATTTTGTAAAATCTGGTAAAAAATTTACGGAGAAATTAAAAAACTTATCTTGGCGCATGTTTTTCAAATTTCGCCAAGAATAATTAATTCACTGGCGAACTTAATTTATAGCAAATTATTTTCCTTTACTTTTTTTCATTGTACACGAGAGGAGAAAAGGTCATACTTTCAAATAATTTTAATAGAATGCGTAAACCACATTTGGCTTTATTATCGTTTATAACATATGTGCCAAATTTCAAAACGCGCCAATGTGTAAGTTCATGTATATCCTAGGAAATTTTGTATAAAAAACTCTATTTTTTGCAGGCATGCTTAGAAATACATCTACTTTAAGATGAGGCAAAAATTTTATAGGTTATAATGCAAAATGTTTTTCGAAAAATTTATAAAAATTATTTAAAAATACCAATTTAAAAAATAAATTGGGGGAATTTTATTTGGAATGAACCCAAATTTCGAATTCTGGAAGAAGGAATCAAGTAAGTTTAAAAAAAAAGACATATTAATAAATGCATATCAAATTGAGTTAACATTGAGGAGCTAAAATTTTTAGAGCTAATTTTTTCAATACTCGTGAAATTTTTACTAAACTTGGCAGTTTGCATAATTTGAGCCGTAGAATGGAAATATGGAAAAATATGAGCATGTCATTTCAGAAAAAGTCCAATTTTTGTCAAAATATCATTAGAACAATGCTATATATAAATCTAATAAATATCCCAATTCGCGCTTTCGAGACATGAAAAACGCAATCTGAATTTCGTCAATCGGTGCAGTAGAACTGTCGTTTTTTTTTTTTTTTTTTTTTTTTTTTTTTTTTTTTTTCACAGTGTATATCTATACGATCACGGTCTGTGCGACATGCGTTTTATCTATAAAGCAGCGGACAAAACCGAGCATCTGTTCAAAGAAAACACTCGGGGATCGCTTCCGTTTCCCCCTTACACGAGTTGCTCCGTTTCTCTTCGCATATCGTCAAGTTCTATAAATAAAGGGTGTATCACTGAGTTCCTTGATCGTGTGGTGAGGCACATTATTTGAAATCCACTCGGAAATGAAAATTAACTTTCGATTACTGTTTCTACCTACGCTCAACAACGCCTACACTACCTTAACGTACTTTTCCGCACTCCATTTTCGAACGTGCAGTCCATTACAACATCTGCTTATTTCGGCCTATTCTATCTAGCCATTCTCTTCTTGCCGTACGTTTTTGAATCGTTCTGTATACAATATAATTACATCCTCACGCAATCATTGTTTCTAATTTTAAAATAAAGCATACAGGAAAAAGAATCAGTATCTTATTTTTAAAATCCTTCAGTTATATCTTTCGAAACCTGACAACCTAGTTCATAACAGCCCCATATACTTAGAAAACATAATGGACCAACCAGGCACTTGCTCTCACACTGTTTACCCATGTAACCAGCTAAACAAAGACAAGTTCCATCATGCACATCGCATTCAGCTCCGTTCAGGCAACTGCAATTACTTTCACAATCTTCTCCATAGAAATCCAGAGGACACTTCTGTTCACAGAACAATCCAATAAAACCTGAAATAAAAATAAATAGATTATTTATATGCAATAAAAATTCAATAGAAGGTCCTTAACAAAATTTACGTGCTTCTACTGATGTTTTGATTCTCAGCACGTTTCTCCGAGAAATATTTAAATCATTGAAACACTGAAAATAGTGCGATGCAACCGCAAAACTTAGATTTAAATCAGAGTGCGTATTTTGAAGAAATTTGTTGAATTAGTTTGAATATTTCACCTTAAGAATCAAATGAACCTTTTGGAGAAAAGCCCTAAGCATTTCCTTAATATCAAAGTGCGTTGAAATGATGCACCTCAGTGTACATCGAAAAGCAGAAAAAGTAAGATTTTGGCTTTCCTTAGCCATTTCACATTGCGAATTTGTTTGAAGATGTTGAGGGCAGAATAAGATTCTTTTGAAAAATCCCATGAATTGTGACTTTTTGTTAAAATGTGTCTCTAAAGCATCATCTGCAAAGCATTAAAGATACCCATAAGTAGTATCGGATATATTTTTAAAAAATAGCATGCCTCATCTAAAAAAACATATGTGTACATAAAAACAATCCTGCATCAAGACTACAAGATTTTTAAATCGAAAGAGGGTCATGATATCTGGATTGACTCATTACAGCGCAAGATATAAGTAAGTAAATAAGATAATGGAAACCTCTAAGTGCGGAATATTAATATTTCCGACCCTTCAGAGATCGTAATCCAGTAAAAACGGCATATGGTATTCATTTCAAGGATTGGGAATATCTAAAATTATGATGTTTCAGGCTAATCATCAAAGCTACGGAAACAGATCCTATGGACTAATGAGTTCAAGGATATAATGCACCAGTTTCGTCCATCGCTATGGATATGATGACAGCTAACATTGTATATTAGTATGTTAAGTTTCCAGTCTCTAATATGGAGGTGGTATTATTCTTCCATGCGAATGTTTTCTGTGATACGAAATCAATAATAGGCAAATCTTAGCAGAGAATTTACCTTGACTTATGTAAAACCTACTAATTCTTCAAAGTCGACTTTCCTCAATAAGATAAATCATTTGCAGCAATCTTATATCGGTCACGCAGCAGTTTGGAACTGATAATCAGATAACATGTTTCTACTTGCCTGTTCAAAACCATGATCTCATAAAGCACCTGAGAGACTGCGTTACGAAAAGAAATAAGGAGTTTAAAATTCATGAAGGAGGAGTATTTATTTACAGTGAATATTCACTTACAGTAAAGCCGATGGAGACGATGTTACACACAGAATGAAAAAAAGTATATGTGATAGTTTCTCCTAAATGCCTTCTTAAGCCTGCCTCGGAAGTTCAACCGTAATCATGGCCTATTCCTGGCTGATAACACAATATTACATCACAGTGAAAGATAAATTTTATTTCTAATCTGGCGCCTGTGAATTTTGCCCATATACATTAAAATTACAAATGCTTACAACAACGAAAACGCAGATTACAACGAAAACGGAGATTATTACACATATATTACTAAATGTAATATTTTAGTGCTAAAGGAGTGTTCTGATGTCAGACTTATTACTGTTTCCTTCACGGAAACAAACTTCCTAGAATTTCATTGGGAAGAATGAAAGATTATAGATTTCATGCTTCCATCTTATGAAAGTGATGTATTTACACTAAACTAAAAATACAGTAATTATCTATAAATAATGATTAACTAATTCAAACGCTATAAAGGGTTAACATGTTAAATTAACCCATAACATTCCAAAATCATGTCATAAATTAGGTTTTTCGATGAAAGTCGGTAAAACCAACCCATTTACATTACTTAAAACTACAGTACTATATTTTTATTTCATTCGAATTTTCTGATAATCAGAAATATAGCTCCAGGTTTGCATCTATTTTATTCTTCAGTTTACTTTGGAATTTAAAACCTGGAATGAGGTAAGTCACAGACAAAAAAATTATTGATTAATATTTTCATTGGAGAGTATTTGATTTTAATATTTAATAAAATTGTTTTCTTGTTACTTCATAAACTAGGAGGGAATTATAAGTCCAGTTGTATGCAACAAATTTAAAGCATTCTTCGTGTGGTTGTCTTCTTACTTTTCTTTATAAAGTTTCGTAATAGGGCCAAACAGTTAAATTTATTTAGTTCAAGCTTAGAAGGCGCTTAGATTTTAATTATGCTAAGGATGACTTAATTGTGTCAAAAAATGTCTTTTCCTTTTCATTTCTTTTTAGATATTTTGAAAATCACATGTTTAACTTAGAGGCCCAAAGTTGTTCTGAAACACTTTCTGGGTAACAATTTTCAACAGTCCAACGGCACAATTAAGATAACTGAATTAGCATAACGTAAACAATTTAGCTCTTTAACACCCTTTAAAGAATTAAACATAGTTTCTCTTCTCTCTCCACAAGAATTTAGCAAATTTCATTATGAGAAAAAGATTTTCCTAGGGAACTACTATTATCGTAACGAAAACGGAGATTATTACACATCTATTACATTCCCATATCATTAATATCTCATGTATTTTATAGGAAAGCCATACTTTCTTAATTAAACCTATTATTTACTTAATTTGTTTCTGTATGCTGTTCAACTGACTGCAAATACACACAGATACGCATAATCAGTTTATTGGAAGCTTTTCGTCACTTGTTCTTTATAAAAACTGAAAACAAAGTTCTTTATAATAGGGGAATCGGAAAGTAATGTCTTTTCTGCACATGTCAACAACAACATGCTATGGGCAGAAGTGGAAGCAAATTCATGTCAAACACTCTTAACCAACCTTGGTCGACCATCCAAGAACATTTAAAGCAGAATGGAAAAATAAGCAAATCAGGTGTTTGAGTATCCCATAATCTGTCCGTAAAGAACAAAGCCAACCTATCCATCACATGCAACGTATTGCTTCAACGGCACCATACAGAACCGTTGTTTGATCGTTCGATTAGTGGAGACAAAAAAATAAGTCCTATATGATAATCCAAAACTCAAAAGGTAGTTTTAATAGGGGTTACAAAGGGTTTACATCCCGAAAAGGCGCTTCTGGGTGTTTGATGGAGTATTCGCGGAATTGTTCATTTTGAATTGCTGATACCTGGAAAAACTGTTAATGTAGATCTTTATTGTGAACAATTAAATCTAGTGAACCACGCTTTAATAGAAAAATATATCTGGCGATTGTCAGCGGAAAGGCGTCCTTCTTCAATACGACAATGCAAGGCCGCACTGCAAGACGAACACTGGGAAAATATAATGAATTGGGGGAAGAGGTCCTGCCTCACCCACTATATTCGCCCGATATCGCACCCTCGAATTTCCATTTATTCCAATCCCTACAACATATTCTTAGTGACGAAAAATTTGAAAATTTGGATTATGTCCAAAATGCCATCTCGAGATATTTTACTCAAAAACCAATTGATTTTTATCGGCCTGGGATTGAATTCGGTATACTAGATGGTAAAAGGTTGCTGATAACGAGGGTGATTATATTATTGATTAAAAATAAAATCTTGTTACAAATTTATTCGTTTGAATTTAATGTAGAAATCGACATTACTTGCCGGTCCCCCTATACATTAAAAGTATTTTTCTAAAATAATCGGTGCATGGAAGGTTCATTTGATTTCCAATCACTTTTAAAATGACATTTAAGATATAAAGGATATATTTAATTTACAATAATTGAAAATATACAGAGAAAAGTAAGTAAAAGAACAAAAGGGAAGTCAACACTGGAAGCTTTGTTTACAATTTTTGTAATTGTACGGTCATAAGCTCTTGTGGATACACCGTCCACCTAAATTTCCCATTAAGCTTAAAACAAATGACAGTATTAAGCGTTACTGATGGCATAGTGGCAACAAGAGAATTATTATAATTTTCAAACTTGCTTACATTGCTACCAATTGTTTGCAAAACATTTGAAATTAAAGTTATTTGAGATATTTATTAATTATCATTCTGAAATGTCCGAATTTCCTTCTGTAATAAAATCTTTCAAACCAAAAACTTTTACCCTAAAACTTTAAAAAAATAATTACTTTATAACGAAATGAAATTGTAAATGATCCTTAAGTGCATTAATATATCAAGTTTTTATTCGGAAGATGGCGAGAATAATTAAACAGCTGACAACTTTAAAGAAATAGACAATTTTACATATTACCAATTATCTGAGGTAATAAAACCAGTATTTTTCAAGTTGAAAGCCTTTGTAAATTTGACCTTTAGCAATAATTTTTAATCGCCTGAATTTTTCACGTGTGATGAATCATAGTACTGTCAAAAGTCTTTAATCAGGACTGGTCGGGACTTCGGCGATTCCGGATTATCGATTTTTCCGGATTATAGATCATCAGTTTAACTCTGATAAGATGGCATGCAGAATCAATAAAATTAAAAATATGAAACAGTAATTTATGAAATAAAGAACAATTATGATCTAAAGGGTATCAAAATTTACAAAAAAAAAAAAAAAAAAGAAAAAAGAAAAACTTAATATTTATTTGTTTACTGTATTAAACATTTCTTTCAATGTAAGTTGTTTAAGTTGCTTCGTTTTATGTGATAATACTTTCTCTTTAATTCTATAAACAGACATAATTTCTTGTTCAAAGTTCCGCTGTTCAAGTCCTATAATTGCTGTGTCGAGAATACCGACTAATTTGTCAATCGAAATTTTTTCGTTTTCAATAACCTCTGTGTCACTTTCTTCACGAAGCAAATTATAATGACGATGAATTTGATTTAAATCATATCAAAGACGGAGGACATCGAGATGAAATACTACATTTAGTAAGGAATTTATAAGCCAAATAAAATAAAAAAATCTGCCCTGAAGAAGATAAGGATAGTGCTGACAGATCAACTTCCAATTCATTGCGCGCCGCGATGTTCCCCCCCCCCCACCGTAGAGCAGCGTGAAATTGATAAACAGATTTCGGAATGGTTAGAGAAACAAAAGATATGCCTTTATCGATTTTTTGCAGCAATTCCACTTTTTGTTTGATGGACATCGAAACATACTTTCTCCGAAATTCTATTTGACATAATCGAAAGTTCAAGCTTACTTTTATAAAATTGCTCTAACAGTCTGCAAAAAATAATAAGCCTGATCCAATTCGAAGATTAAGGACAACGCAATCTGCAACATTAACTGAAATAGATAATTAGATAATTTTAGCTTAGCTTATACTGTCCGTTATACATTAAACGCACATTCGCAAACGTATTATGCGCATATGCACAAGCATATGCGCATGCGTAAAAGTATTACACGTATGCGTAAACGCCTATGCGCATACGTGAACGCATTATGCGTTGACGCATGCGCAGAAAGTTCGTAGCTTTGAGGTCCGTATTATGGTGTTCGGATTAACGACTTTTGACTGTACCGATATCAATATCTTACTAAGAGAATAGCTGGTAATATCTTAATAAAAAGTTGTAAGTTAAATAAAAGATTTTTCTTTTATATTAATGATGTCATGTTTAAAAAACAAGATTCCTTGTGTTTTACGTGTGACCAAATTAAGATCTCCCGTACAGTAATTTAATCTTCAAAACCCGCATTAATTGTGACTTATTACGCCCAAAAAATTTATCATTCAATAATATATCACATTAGAAACGCTGGTTTAAATAAATTCAAATTTCGCAGCAAGTTTGAAATTCTAAATTATTTTAATATAATAACATGAAATTGTCTGCTAAATAATTTTGCCATGTTTGTCATCTATGGTATGTACGTAATTTCATCTCTCTGTCTCCGTATATATAAAACCTAGGATTTACCAGTCTTCGGGCTTTTACAGTATACACTATATATATATATATATATGCTACAACCTAGAATGGAAAGAGGCAATGCTCCGAAACTTCAAAAGCACATCAAAGAGCACATACTAAATAGCACACATAATAAACAAGATTTAGACAAGAAAGTTAAAATATAGAAAAATTTTTTCACTGTTACGAAAACTGCCAAAGCCAGTAACAACTTTAGTATCATTTGAAAGGTTTTCTACCATATTACTGTAACATCCACACATTACTACTCTAACATCTACATATTGTTTCTTCATATTTCTCTAACATCTACAGATACATAGATGATATTACTGCAATCAACAACTTCAATACAATAGAATTCAATCACATGTATCCTTCACGTTTGAAACTCAATAAAACAAACTTTCAACAAGGAGATATTAATTACCTTGATTTGCAAATTATCAATTTTAAAGATATCACAATTTACAACAAAAGAAGAGATTTTGATTTCCCTGCTATTAAACTTATCCATTGGCTCTCCAAAAGAATAATACTAAATACCATACATACTCAGCTCCTTAGAATAAAAACTATTTGCAACAAAGTCGAATACTGACAAGAATAAATCAATTATTTAATCAAAATTCTCTTAGAGTATGAAACACCTCTATTCAACATTTCTACAACTCTGAAGAAAGCTGGTATTAACTACTTTTTTTTTTTAAATTTCTCATCTATATTGATATCGTAATTATTACTTAAACCTTAATCGGAGGTAATAGTTGGATGGCTACGATAAGAAATTTAATGTAAATGTGTATAAAGATAGTGTTTCTTTTCCCTTTTATTTATTAAGTAGTCTTTCTTTCTACTATTTTATTAATTTATAACAGGCAAATTTTCTTGCTTTTACTAAAAAAAGGGGCTTTTTAGTTTCAAAGACGTTTTCTATCCCGATTACGTGAAGACTTTTATCTTTTGTAACATATATTTTTTTTCCCTCAACTTTGAGCCAGTACTACTTTCACCTTTTAAGATTTTCCAGAAGATAGAACCTTTTAGAGTTTTTAACACCGCCATTTTGAAATTCGACGATCACCCTTCCACGTGGTAATAATTTTTATGGCCGCACCCACGTTTGACGCCCCCGCACACAAAGTTTAATAGGATAGGATTTTTTGAACGTATGTTTAAACACTTTGTTCTGCTACTGGACACTTTGAACCTTATCGCATACTTTTTTCAAGAACTACCGTCTTCGGTTTCTTCAGAGTTACTATGAATTCTACAGTAAATTCAGTTTGGTCATCTGAAGAATTAAGTAAATTTTCGTATGAAGGACGTCATATGATTTCAGTAGTTTGCGTTTTTTCAATTTTTTTTCAAATAGGCTTTCAATTTTGCCGTAGTATGCTCTGCTTTGATTTCATTATTTAATACAATCTCTATGAAAAGTTATTCATTTTCTTGGCATTAAAAGTTTAGTTAAGCATATTCGAGGACCGCCCATTTTAGAGTGTTGTTTAAATGTCTATTTGGTTTAAAGTATATCTGTATTGTGATTTACCTTTATATTTAATTTTAAATTTCAGATTCACATATAATGTTTTGAGACCGATTTGGTTTTTTTCGAATAGTCATTTTAGAATATGTAAAGTTTTTTTTTTTTTTTTTTTAAGTCAATTTGAAACAATGTTAAGTTTTTTTTCTTTTTACCAAGTGTTTCGAAGGGGTGTAGGGAAAATCCTGACACATTTGACATTCACGTTTTTCGGTTTTATATGAATTTTTATGTAATGTAAATTTGTTACTTTTTTCAGTTTTTAATCTTAAATTTACCGGGAGAATGGAACAAATGTTTGAAGCATATTAATCAATTTTTCTGAAGCTTTAATTCCTTTTCCCCTGAAGAGTTCTGAATTCGAATTTCAACAAAGGGAGATTAATTTTTATATTTCTATTATCTTGTACATATTTTCCCTTTTTGCATTTTTAGTTTTCGAGTTTCTACTACTATGACCATTTTAATTTTGAATTGTTTAGATTTTATGTTTAACCCCTTTACAAGTATGCAATTATTAATATTCTTGAGGAATTGCCTTGCTTTGACTCCAATTGACTTTTAACTTTATGTTTATTTTACTTCAATCCTGCAGCTATAGCGCAGGACGGGTTAAAAAATTTGTTTTTAGTTTTTACCTCTTAATAAGTTTCTTTACATATAACGGGTGGTCATAATTAAACTGACAGTGCTCACAGTGTTCTGTAGCGCGATATATTTTCGAGAATGACGCCACATTTTGTAGGAAGATTAAACAAGACAAAAAACTGTTTTTAGTTTTTACCTCTTAATAAGTCTCTTTACATATAACGGGTGGTCATAATTAAACTGACAGTGCTCACAGTGTTCTGTAGCGCGATATGTTTTCGAGAATGACGGCACATTTTGTAGGAAGATTAAACAAGACGGGGGACGAAGGATTCCTCAAAAAAAAAAAAAAAAAAAAAATAGTTCTAAAAGTCACCGCTACAGGAATATTTGGCGCTGTGTAATAGAAAATAGAATGTTAACAAATGCAAATCAATACGGAAATTACCTTTTATTTTGCATTCAAATGAGGTTCAATGCGGGTGCCGTTGTTGTGGACCACATATTGCATTCTGTGCACAGTATGCACAACAGTAGAAAGTAACATGTCTGCAGGAATCTCCCGTACAGTCCGTGATATTTTATCCTTCAACGTAGCCAGGTCCTGGACCACTCCTTAATAGATCTCGGACTTAAGGTAACCCCATAGCCAGAAGTCACATGGGGTAAGATCAGGCGACCGAGGTGGCCATGCAGTTGCAAAGTAGCGGCTAATGACTCTTTCTGTTGTGAATTTCTGTCGTAGCATCTGTTGCGCCCGTACAGCAATGTGTGGAGGGGCTCCATCTTGCATGAAAATGATTTCCTCCCAGGCATTGTCTTTGCTGAAGTGCCGGAATGACAAAGCTGTTCAACATGTGGCGATATTTCTCTCCGGTAACAGAACAGGTTTTCGTTCCTGTCGGGGTAATGTTCTCATAGAAGAATGGACCTACGATAAATTTTATTCCGTATTAATTTGCATTTGTTAACACTCTTATTTTCTATTACACAGCGCCAAATATTCCCCTAGCGGTGACTTTTGGAACTATTTTTTTTCGCGGAATCCTTCGTCCCCCGTTTTGTTTAATCTTCCTACAAAATGTGGCGTCATTCTCGCAAATAGATCGCGCTACAGAACATTGTGAGCACTGTCAGTTTAATTATGGCCACCCGGTATATATATATATGTGTGTGTGTATAAATAAATATTATTTGCAATTTGTTTGCGGCCTGCAATCTGAAATAAATCTGCAGTTTACTTAAGAAATTATATATAACTATACAAAGCTCACCAGGTGGGCATAGGCAGGTTCCATTCACTTTGTCACACACCCCGTCATTAAAGCAAGAGCAAGTACTATTACAGTAGAGACCGTACGTTCCTGATTCACATTCTGAAACATCGGAAAAGGATAGGTGTTTATAAATTAATAATTTAATTACGTGATAAGAAACACCACAATAATTTTTTTTCATTCATTCATCATAAAAATATCGTTATTAAACTAAATCTTTAGGCTTTAAGATACTATATTTCTAAGTTCAACACTATAAGAAATTCTGCGTCAGTGATCAACTTCACTTACGCAGACAAATTTGTCGGAAAGTTGTTAGACGGCATGTTCCACATCTTGTATATTGCTTTACGATGATTGGCGTTTCATTTGTTTCTGCAGATGTTGATAAGAGAAACATGCCCAGGGAAAGGCAGACCATGCAAGTGGACAAATTGGTAAGCAGTCATGGGCATCTTAGTTTTTTTTTTTTTTTTTTTTTTTCCGTGATTAGGCATTTATCTGCAGGGATATCACAACTAGAATCTTTGCCAGAAATGAGTGCAGATAAACTTGTAGAAACTCAACCGTCAGTGTTTCACAAGTATTACAAATCAGTAACTGTAGGCTATGACTCCCCAAAGCATAATATTTACAATGAAAGAAACATTTATATCTCTATAGTGGAATTAGGATTTGATGTTGACCAGGGAACGTCCACCGTAATATGACCATCTTTCTTGAATTCCAAGAGGTATTCAACGCTAAACAACGCACAGCGTCAACACAAAATACGTCACGTCCTTCACAAAGTAACAATATTCAATTTAGTTCATAGAGAAAAATATGTAAACTTAAAGAAAGTTTCCCCTTTTTTTATGTGAAATGCTTAATCAATTTGAGATAAAAGATGCGCATCTATTTCGCTACGCAGTATAATTAGTTCACTTTGTTGTAACTATAATTCTCAAAGGATTTTCAAAATGTTTAGTAATTGAACAAAACACTATGTTCGAGAAATTCAAATCACTATGTTGCAGTATGGTGAACTATATAATTTAAAATTCACCTAATAAATGCTCTATAAAATTGTTGTCATATAGAAGAATACATAAAATACCAAAATAAAAAGGGAATTAGCTGGAAATTCTTTCAATACAATGAAGACTTAAACCACGTTTTACTAACGTAAAAGGTGTAGCAGGAAATATCAGTATTTGTTTTAATTAAACTTTTCATGGCAATTTCAGCGACTTCAGAAATCGAATTTGAAACTTAACTTTAAAAATTTAGTATCCTTTAGATATATAAAACATCTTGAAAGCCTATAAAAGTAACGCAATATAAAATAATATTAGTTGGGAATAAATCTTAAGATTTCGAAATTTTTACGTGTTATATTATTAAAATAGTAAGAGTATCAATGCAGATATGAGCAACAGCTGATTAATAAATCAATTACAATGTAATTGATGAAAAACTAAATAATCGCAAATAAAGCATTTTAATTACAGTGCGTTATGGGTATAATTATAACGTAATTTTAATTGCAAAATTTTATTAAATAGAAAAATAGACGAAAATTTAATTTTTAGGTACCCCATTTAATGGGGAATGGACTGTATAAATAAAAAAATAATAAGAGATGTTGTTGTTTGGTATGAAGAGAATTTTTCATTAAAAAACAGGTCTTTCTGGAGCATTTTCTTTTTTCTTTTCTTTTCTTTGCCTCTTTCCGCCCCTCGACCTTACCTGAGACTTACTGGACTTCAGTTTCACTCAAATTGTCCAACGTCATTTGTTTTTGAGTTAAGTATTAAAGTGAGAGATTGCATTATCATTGAAAATGCTTATATTATAGCTTATTACTGTTTATCAGAGCGATAAATAAGCTATATGATTATATAATGAAAACATACCTGAAATAATTACATAATGAAACTATTTATGCAAGTGATAATATTATTAATTATATAATGAATGAAATATAGTGAAAAATGAAATATTTAAAATTTACTTCTTTCATTCCTTTTTATGATCTCAGCGTCATGTAAGAGCTCATGAAGTCAGTGAACGGTCGTTAATAAAGTAGAAAACGTTTTTGTGTCCTTAAATATGCAAAATTAGATTTTGTTACTAATGTACAGCTTCGTGTTTGAACAATGAATTGACAAAAAAACTCCTTTGGCGTTGGACTGACCATTCAAAAGGTCTGAGCATAGATCTAAATGTCCCATCAAGAAATCTGGACTTGACAATGTGTGCTTACTTCTTACAGGAATACAACAAGGGCCGAATTTTCCCCATCTTCTTACATATATGAGCGATCTTAATGTACCGCAAAAGCAACTGCGGCCGATACTATGGAAGGTCTAATGCGTATTTATTAATAAACCGATTATCACATTAATATTGAATGTTATAAAACACAGTTCAGGCATGCAAACTTCACGAAATATTCTTTTAGACATAGTATTTCAGCAGTTCTGTTTAAATTCTTATTTTTTTAAAGCTCCTGAATTTTTTTAGGGTAATCATATATATTGAATGTTTTTAAAGCATGTCAGTAGGAAAAAAATTACTTGGCGGTATAGTAGCAGCCATCGTTTCTTTGGCGGAAGGATTCTTTGAAAATAAAATAAAACATACAACCAAGAAAACGTGCACGTTGGTATGGGAGCAATTTCTTAAGAAGCCATTTCATGCATTTTTATTCTTCATTCAGATATCATAAAAACGTGTGCATCAAAAAATTTCCCACGTGGAAAGAAAGCAATTCCTTTGTTTTAAAGCGAGAAATGCCTAGTCTCCGATTTGTTCTGAATTCAAGAATGTGGGCAACAAGTCCTTAGAGGATAACACTGATATACTTAGTGGGTAGCGTATTTTAAGCTTGAATCATCTTGTGAGCAGTAATGTGAACTTCCTTTTGAATATTTCAAAAGAAAATTCGTCTTGCAAAACAAATGGACTGCCACTTCTAAGAAATACTGCCAATTTTAAGAAATATATGTTGCAAGCCTCGTGGATATGAGATCCAATAATATCAATGCACAGTAATATCTTTAATTATTAAATATGTACATAAATCTCTACTTGAAGAAAATTTAAGATGCATACCAAGTCGTTCGTTACCATCTGGCATTGCGATTTCTATTGTTTCTTTTAAATATAATGTAATTGCCTGTTTTGTAGCTTAAAATCGTAGGAGATTAATCGTTAAAATAAAAGTTAGGCAACAACAACTCAGTTTAAATATTATAGGCGCTAAAATGGAATCCAATAGAGTAAATATTTAAGATTTTTGCATTTTAAAAACTATAATTTTTAACTTTTTGAATCATAAGTAGAAAAGCATAATTTTAGGTTTTCAACTCCCCCCCCATGAGATACAAATACTTAGAAAATCCCAAATACTGTCGACGTTGATGATATAGCTGCAAATTGATGATATATATATCTCATAAATACACATTACAAAATTAAGGAAATTGACCCACACTTTTAAATTTAGCACTGAAGTGAAAATAAGGAGTAAGGTAATAATTTCCATCCTTTCTTCCTAGGACTGAAAAAAGAATTTCACAAGAAAGAAATTTCAAATACCTTGAAGAATAGATGCTCAGTTATCGCTTTTAAGACATTAAAGTTCAATAAAAGTTTTTTTTTCATCTCCCCATTTCTTAAAACGCCTGTCAGCATGTATCATTGCATCTACTAAAGAAATCAACAATCACTTCTTTTTTATCAAAGTTTCAAATCATCTCTTGTATTTAATAGATCGACTTTAAAAGTATTTATACCATCTATAAAGAATTAAACTACTTTCTAGATAGTAAATCCTTCTTACATAAATAATTTATTTACCTTCAGTACATTTTGATCCTTTCCAGCCTTTATCACATAAGCATGTTCCGGGACTTTTACATTCTCCATGACCACAGCCGCCTATACATATAGCTAAAGGAAAAAGAAATGGATAAAGAAGTAAATACATTTCAAAACGCAGTATTAATCTTTTCAGGCATTCTTATAAGCAAATAAAGTTTTATTACTTTTGTAAAGAATAACACTAAAATGTTCAGGATGTCTCCTATCAAAAATATTAGATTTCATAATTACTTTAATCTTAGTATTATTTAAGAGAAATAATTATTATACCATAATTTATTTTTATTTAATGAAACTAGAAACATGTTTCAAAACTGATATGAAAATTTCAAAATACCTTCCATTTTCAATTAAAAGCCCTAAAAAGTAGTGAATTTATAACAGCATCGGGAAAAAAGTTTATTCATGCAAATATTAATTTGGTTACAATTTACATACTGAATCAGTGTTAAAACGTAGGTTTTTTTAATCGAATTGCTTATATTTTGTCCATTTCGGTGTAATGCCATCAATGAATCCATGATTCAGTATAATAGTTGATGGCAACATGATTCCTGCAACAACCAGTCAACACACAAGAATTACTAAAAGATAGCTTCACGAGACTCCATCATTAGTTATAGTCAACAAACCGTTTAAAATAATTAAAATAGAATGATTTTTTACACCACAATATACTTGCTGAATACATGGATGCTGTTAGCTATCTTACATAAACGATTCTGACAAGATTAACGAAATAAAAAAAATATGTAAGTGACAAACTGCACTCCGAGACGCATTGTAAATGTTTCTTTGAAAGTAGGTTAAAGTACTCAAACTCTTTTATTAAACACTAGGTAACCCAGTCTAATTGCATGACCAAAGAATTGTTAAATTAATGAAAGAACTGAGAGTTAGAATCGTTCATAACATCGGAAATATTAGAAGAATTAATAAGAAATTGCTTTCATGTAGCGCATTCGCTCATTCCTCTCTCTCTATATATACTTAATAAATCCTACTACTGATCTTAGGAACGATAATAAAGAATTAATTTAAACATTTTAAACTATTAAGTAAATTATGAAAATAAGACATTAAGCAAAAACACAATATCATCAGTTTACACAATATTATCAGTGACCCTTTACAAAGTTGAAGTTTCGGATGATGTGGATGAATTATTTCCGAGTCTAACACTCATTAAGGAGAAATATGTTTAAAAATATATACATTTAAGTGTAGCAAATAATAAACTTGATAAATAAGAACCTTGATGAAACCTTGATGAAAAATATTCTATTAGTGTTAAGACTAAAGAAGCATCTCACAATTTAAAATCAGACATACAATATCAGTAAGAGTTGATTGTTAAAATAGTGCTAACTTGCAGAGACATTCGGTTTTTTTTTTTTTTTTTTCTTGGAAGCAGCAGACAAGATGAAAATTCAGCAAGTGTCTTCTCCGGGAATCGAATCACGGACCTCTAGAATACCACTACACCGCGAAGGCACGTGAAGAAAGCGGAAGAAATACCTTATAAACTCTTTTATTATCAAATTTTAAATTATATTTCTTCTCAGCTTTCTTCAAAGTAATTCGCCTAATCAAAAATCTGTGTTAATAGTGTAATAAATTTGAATACTGCTGTTTCTTCCAGTTGCAATTTCATAAGAATCCTACCTCATTGCATACTTTTGGCGAAATGGCTTGCCACTGTTTGGTTCTAGGCTGTTACTCGCAGACTTTGTGTCGGAAATGAAAAAAAGCTGACATTGCCTGATAGGAACTTGCAGGCGTGCACCTAAAGCCTCGTTCCACTGCCGCGTATCCGTAGATTATTTTCATTTTCTGCCGCTAGATGTCACTGCAATATTTTCGCGCCAAACAACCAGTTCGCGAGTTACGACGCTGAACATCTGAATTTTTCTCGCTTGATTTGATATGGATCCTGACGCAGAAAAGTTTTGTCTACTAAATTAGATGTTATTGGAAATTTTTATTTCTGCTTATGAACTGCGAAAGTAAAGTAGGGTAGCAATTTTTAGATAAGTAAGATTATAATGCATATTATGAGCATCACTAATTCCATAGAAGCTGAAGTAATTAAAAAACTTTTTTGCGTTTCCAGAAGCTTAAACATTAATGAAATAATATATAATTATTAAAACTAATGTTGTATGATCTTAAATCCATTTAGCGACTACAAGTTAGTACACTTGCGCAACTGCTGCAAAGTTTGTTAATAATAATTTATTTCCTAAACAGTTGATTAATGTTATATTATCTCCTAAGTTTAATTAAAGTAGAATTATTTTAAAAATGTTAAAAATGTACTGCTACTGAAGTAGTAAACAAATAAATAAAAAAAAATAAAAAAAGTTAAACGAATTAAAAAAATAGTTGGTACATTAAAAGTACAGAGCAACTGCAAAGAAAGGTTCACTATATTTAAACAAAATTTCCAATGCTTGTATACCGCTGACTGCCAATTGAGATCCTACATTTTTTAATAGCCCAAAAGTGGGGAAAAAGTAATACATAAAATTTTAGCATCTATTTCTTCATTTTTAATTAGCTGGAGAATTTATTAGAAATCTCGTTTGTTTTAAAATGCACTATGGGCAGTTATTTTATACATAATCCATAAAATATTATTTTTAACTAAAACATTTTAATTCATATCTCTTTTTAAAGAAGAAGTTTAAAATAGCTTTTTCTTTTATATATATATATTATATATACTAACATTGGGTAATGAAAATGGAAATATTTAATTAATTAATTGTTCACCTGCAGAGTACTGAATTTAAAAACAATTATTACAGTAAGTTTTTTTTAAAATGTTTAGGGCATTAATACTGTCTCATGTTAATTGGTAGTGAAGGTTTACAGCTGGAAACGAAGTACGTACATTCACATAAAAGTGAAACGAATATATATATATATGTACAGGGAGCATGCTTTAAATTCGTGTTATACAACTTTCAAAAATTTTGGGGGGCAAAATTTAAATAAACAAGAGCATAAATAAAACATAATATTTAAAGCATATAATAATAGAAAAAAATTATAAAACACAAATATAGATAAGCTAAGAAAGTTGCAGACAGAGTGAAAAAAGCGCATGGGATCCGAACTCGCGACCCCAAAAGTTAAACCACGTTGCCGTCAGCTTTTACCACTAAACTATCATTACACGAGTATAATATGCAATTTTGGCTTATATATACCATCAAGTAAATGAATTATTAAAACTAAATGTTTTGGTTCTATTTCAGTGTGCTATCGTCTAAAACATTCACCAGAGTTTGTTCTTCAGCTTCTAGGACATTTCTTACAAAATATAGGGGCGTTCCGATTGAAGTTAAACGGGATGCTAAAAATATATTCCATGTGCTTAAAAATATATGTTAAACAAAAAGGTATATTTAAAAATAGAGAAATACAAATTTAACATACTCTTTAATGCAATGGGATATTTAAAAGGCTATCAAATTTAATTTATAATTAACGTTTTTAATTTTCACGTGTTTCAAAAGAAAAAGTAACAACTCTATTAATGCCATATCTGATTTGCTACAGCACTTTGATATAATCAGATGTTTAGTTTCATTAAAGGTAAATGTGTATGCAGAATTAGGAAATAATTGTCAGGACAAATTTTGCTATTTTATCGATCTGAAATTATATTTTTTGTGCCTGATTTTTCTTGAATGATTTCTTGACCGCCTTATTTCTATGCGAACTAGTAATGTATTGCAGTTATTTTATTTCTATCTTTTTTACTAATTCAGCGATGCTGTCTTTTTCAGTATGCAGAGTTCTCTATAAATTTAAAGACCCGTTTCCCTCTTGCTCTTGCGTTCCGGTGGTTATTTTCGCACCGGCTCCGAATGCACTTTTCCCTCTCCCTCGGTCGATGTCTTTCGCGTGTCGTCGGATGAGTTCCCAATTTCCCTTATCTTCTTCTGCGGATGCGTTAGGGTCACGTGGTAAAAAAGAGAAATCAGTGTGTCACTAAAAGAATGGCGGGAGGCGTAGCGATGAACGCTCGCTTAGGAAAGAATGTTTTGCTAAAAAATACTTATCTCTGAACATTAAGCGAAATTGCGCTGAAAAGAAGTAATCAGCTGATTTAGTAAGGAAGATAAGAAAAAAATAACTGCAACTACAGTATGTCGCAGATAAATGAGGCTTCAGAAATAGTCAAGAAAATCAGCGGCAAAAATTATTCCCAGGTCCATGAAATAGCAAAATTGTCTGGCAATTATTCCTATTCTCATATTCTTTACGTTATGAATGATTCTGACTATATCAAACTCTATAGCAAATAGGGTTGATCTTTACAGTACGGTTAACTTGGCGTTTTTTGGCAAAATTTGGCACCAACTCCTTACAGTAACCGCTATTTTTTTCCCGCCGCCATTTTGTCTTCACGAGTAAAGACTGTTTTTTTCTTTTTATCTATGAACACTCTTCCAACAATCTCTAGCCGAATTACACTTATGTAGAATTTTATCTAACAAATGCTAAGCATGACAAATATTCACGCCAAATTGGAAAAAGTGCAGAATACCATACTCCTTACGCGTTTTTCAAAATAACACATACACATAAACATGTACCGCCGACTTATTTAACTTAAAAAACATCCCGAATTGCACAAAAATGGCATTGCGCACACTCTGCCACTATATCCATGTACACTGCTTTTTTCCATAAATTACAAAATTTCACGAAATAATGACATTTTCTCAATCTTTACCCGTAAAAGAACAATATGAATTCCTGTCGGAAAAGTTTACCCTTCCAATATGACATTCCACATATAAATATAAAATATCCAAAACTTTACCTCTAAATCTCTAGTATATTATAACGTCACCATGAATTCATACCGCAAATTACAAATACTTAGTGTCAGATATTAAATTATTTCCATGCCAGTTTATTCAACTAAAGTACACCAATTCCACAAACATAGCAATTCACAAAATCCTATCATTTAATTAAATATATTAAATTCAAAAACACTACTTACAAATAATGACACATACTTAAATTAATACATACATAAATACCCATTTCGAATCACTTTAGTTACGCCATGGGATCCAAAATTCACGCACCCTGTGCACACAACACAAATAAAGCCAAATACAAAATTTCCAATTTTTTCCGATTTCCCCCATTTTCAATTAAAGAACCGAATCGTCCATGAATATCACATGACTATCCCATGATCTCTCATTTCCCCACACAAATAATGCGTATTGGAACTGGTACTGCTCACATTAGACCAAAGTCCAGGTAGTAACCTTTATCGCCTCCAAAATGTCGCCAACTCCATTTACCATATTGTAAGATAAACCCAATTAGATAGGATTAAAAGATTGTTATTTTTTTCTTGAAACAGTAAAAACTAAAAGCGTTGTTATAATAAATGTAGCCTTTTAAATATTCCACTGCATTAAAGAGTATGTTAAATTTGTATTTCCTTTTATAATATATCTTTTTGGCTAATATATTTGTAACCACATGAAATATTTATAGCCCGTTAACGTCAATCGGAATGCCACTTTAAAAGATAATGTTTTTTGTAAAAATTGTACTAGAAGCTGAAGAACAAACTCTGGCGAATTTTTCAGACGATAGTACACTAAAATAGGACAAAAAAAAATTTAGTTTTAAGAATTGATTTACTTGATAATGTATATAAGTCAAAATATGCATACGACTCCTCTGTGATGTCGCGATGTGATAGTGGTAAAGCTGACAGTAATAACGTTTACTTTTGGGCGTCGTGAGTTCGAATCCCATACGCTTTTTGCACCCTGTCTGCTATAGCAACTTTCTCAACTTTTTGTTCCAATTTGATCTATATTCGTGTTTTATAATTTATTTCTAATTTATTTAATTATTTTTATTTATGTTTTTTTTAAATTTTATTTTAAATTTGAAAATTATATAATACTAATTTAAAGTATACCTTACATATAGATTGAATTTAAAAACTTCCTATTTAAAAAGCAAATTTAAAGTTAATTAAATTATATTAATTATTACTGTCGAACTAATACAATATCATTTAAATTCTGAGAGTATACGTAATCAAGTGCAGTATAAAATCTGAATATATTAATTCCAAAAATTATTAATCCTAAAAATTTATAAAAATGCATAAATAATAATAGGTGATTTATCCTAAATTTTTTGTATAAAAAGCATACAGTGATAATAGGATAAATACATTTTTGGAGTTATATATTAGTCATGTATTTGATACTTGCATTTGATTACATATGCCTCAGAATTTAAATAATTTATATTAGTTGCAGCAATAATTATCATTATTTGTTGCATTAATTTCATTTAAATTTAATTACTTTAATTCTTTTAGAATAGAAAATGTTTGTTAAATTCAAATTCATCCTTGCACCAATGGCGCAAGAGAAATATTAAATTTAAATTATTTGAAAATATATTATATATATATATTGTTCACTTTTATGTGAATGTATGTACTTGCTCAGACTTGGAATGTTACGATCTAAAACTTCATTCCATTTAACTGAGACATATTAATACCTAAACATTTTTAACAAAAAAATTAGCTGTAATATTGCTTTTAATTCAGTCTCTCCAGCAGAAGCGCATGATTAATTAATGAATATTTCCATTTTTTTACCTAATGTGTATATATAAAGAGAAAAATCTCTTTTACTTCTTCATTAAAAAAGATATGACTTAAAAATGTTTACTTAAAAATAATATTTTTTGGTTCTGATAAAATATAACTGCCCATAATGCATTTTAAACCATGAGATTTTTTATAAATTATCCATCTAGAACCTGAAGTCAGCGGTATACAAGCATAGCAATTTTTGTGTAAAATTTGTGACCTTTCTTTATTCTGAAAACAGTACCCTTTTTTAATTCCTTTCTTTTTCTTTATTTATTTATTTATATTTTTTTTTTTTTTAATTTTTATTTTTTTCACTAACAGTACATTTTAGTTTAATAATTAATATATTATTTCATTACTAGTTAGCTTCCAAACGCCAAAATGTTTTTTTAATTTTACTTCAGCTTCTATGGAATTATGATGCATAATTGATTATCACGTTATTATCTAAAATTGCTTGCGTACTTACTTTCGCAGGTCCTAAGCATAAATAAAAATTCCCAATAACATGGAATTTAGTACTTTAAAACTTTCTGCGTTTTAGCAGCATCATATCAATCCAAATAAACAATACTCCTTAAGCGTGAAAAATTCAGAGTCAGCCTCGTAACTCGCGAACTGCTTGTGGCGCCAAAATATTACAGGACACTAGCGGCGGAAATGAAAATATCTACGATACACGGCAGTGCAAACGCTTACGGATGCGCAAGCGTGTCTTGACGCAATGACTCAAGCGCGTATACCAGTATGGAAACCAGGCTTTTCAGTAATAACTATTTTTTAGCAAAACATTCTTACCCTAAGCCAGCGTTCATCGCTACTTCTGCCGCCATTAATTTTTGGTGACAACACCTGATTATTCCTTTTTTACCACGTGACCCCAACGCATCGGCAGACATACGGATAGAAGTTGAACATTGTCGAACTCCATCCGTACATCATCCCTCACCGTACATCGACCGGATTGCAAATGTCAATCAAAGTGAATTCGCTCGCTAATTGGAGAAACGCATACACACCGCAATGCATACGCAGCAGTGGAAACTGGCCTTAAATTTGCAAATCATTACAGATTGAAAACAAATTGTGTATTTTGTTGCGAAGCGAGAGGCTCTTCAAAATTCAGTATTGCGTATTTTTTACGCACAAACTCTTATAACCATAAGTATTCGCTTCTTTTTAGTTGCACATCACATCTACCGCAAGCATTAATTCGCTGTAATAATTATGCTAGAAACAGTTTTTGATCAAGATCATTTGACAAGAAAAAATTTGAGATCCGTGCTTCAAGTGAAATTCTAAAACCTCTGAACTGTTACGTTTAAACAAAACATAATCAGCATTATTGAATGTTTTGATTTCTTATCTAATTAGAAATTTTGTAGGTATTTGCATGTTTCTTATTTACTCCTAGTCAACTAGTTACATTTTTGAAATATATATCGCTCCTCATTACTTAAAGTTAGGATTCTGTCAATATTATTAAAACTGGCGGATGCAAACATAATCATATTAACATTTCGCCTCTCAACTACGAGACAACTAATGGTAGTATACTGCCACTGGACGGTCAGTACGACTAGATTCGTATTTTTCCTTTCGATTTAACATTCCAAATTATCGATGTTCTCGTAGAAAATGAGTGTTAATTACACATTACACACATTAAGGCACCTGGTATACGAAAAGTGAATATGTACTGACAGAGAAATAATGAAAATTAAATTCATTTATTCACAAAATAACATCAGCATTTATCTCAACAACAAATTTAACCTTATTATTTTACATAAATAAACCAAAAAAAATGCACATAATTTTCAACAAGGTCTGAATTGTTTGCTAGAGAAGCTTCCCACTTTAAATAACACATATCTGCGTATTCATCTAACTTCTTTTCGGCTACATTTCTTTCATGCAATGTAATCATTAGGACACGTGCGAATTATTTGAAAATAGACACTTTTCTGTTTTATGCAACAATATATTACAGTCTTAGCACACAAGAAAATTACACGGTCAACAGCGTTTCGTGGAAGGTGTGGTACGAGATAACTCGTAATGGGCGTCTGGTGTACAAAATTCGTACGCTCCGCTGCAGTAAATTCGTTAAGCTGTAGTTGCATTGCTGTATTAATTTAATTCATGCGCTTTTGAATGGTGGATATTTCATCATGCTCGCAAACCAGACTAAATATATCATCAAAAGTATCATATGTAGAAAGCGAAAAGAAAGTTCGGCTAGATTTTCTTATTCTCAAGATGCAGTTTTTTTTAAATGTCACGTAACTGTTATAAATAGAAAGGGAATTAAAAAAAAAAGAGTCTACATTAAGTAAGAACTGTGAATTCGTTTTCTGATCGAAGTGAAGATTTTGAACACTGAAATGTACTGTACTGTACTTTACGATGGCAGAATTAAAAGCGCACTGAATGTGTTTTATTCGAATTATATGAAATTTAAGTCTAAACAAGTGGAACATTTAACTAACGTGAAGAATGCCTATATAAACAACAGTACGTCTCTCCCTATAATTAGTTCTAACTCCTTTAAGGTGTTAAAAAGCAATATATTATTTTGCTATACAAAAAAATTACTCACGTTCACAAATTTCATTCACTTTTTCATATCCTTTGCAGCAAACTTGGTATCTCTTGGTTTTAATAACACTGTACGTTTTATTTGTTTCCACATATTTTATTCTAAAAAAGAAAGAAATCGATTATAAACAAAACGCATTTGTTGCATTCTACATTTGAGTTTTCGCCTCTTTTTTACTAAGTTTTAAACGGGAAATAAAGATGAAAATTGCTTTGAAACCACATTGTCTCTGTTCTTTATAAGAAAAATCGATACCGATATTGTGAATAACTATTTCAAGTTACTGCTAAATAAAATTGTATTTCATTAATTATTAGAATAAATCATTCTGTACATATTTCTTGAGTAATTCATTAGTAGCAGATTTATTATTCTGTGAATTCAGAACCTGGGTTTTAGTCAGAGGAAAGCAGTTGCGGGCTGACATTTCAAAAGGTTTGCAAACATCTATCTGTGAATCGTAAAGTTCTTTCCATATTAAAATTGAGATAAGACTGGCAAATATTTTCAGTTACTGTGATTTCAAGATTTCAGGAATTTCAGTATTCAGTGTACAAAGCTGGATAAAAGGCAATAACAATGACGTTAAAATATGTTATAATGATGCAATTGTTTTGTTTACGCACAGGAAAAGTCACAGAGAGTCAAGACTCCTGGCCCGGCTACGAAAGTTAAGCAGTATTGTTTCTCTCCCGCCCCTATTTAGGCGCAAAACCTACCTGGGAAAATCAGGGTGTCCTATCAGGAGTTCATTGCAAAAAAAAAATAATAATTTTGATATGGTCAGATGAGATCTAAACGTACATAAGTTACATATTACAGATGATTTTTCCCCTCGTACATAATGAACAGAATCGTCTCAAACGAAGTTACGCGTGCTTTCTAACTAACCATGTATGTTCAAATTATAATATGTAAAATAATACTAATTAAACTAAAACTGAACATAATATACTAAATTACTTCGTATAATGTGGAAATAATTCAAGAAAACCGTAAGAAATACATGGAAATGAAATAATACATCTAATGCGTTCCAAGGAACGCCCACGAATCTTGGTTTTTTACATTTCTACTTTGCATATATTGAGATGGAAGAGCACACAGAGAAAATGAATATTATCAGTTAGTTCTGTTATACGGTTATGGAGTTTTATTACATGCGCAATGATAACGAAACACACGAGATGTCAGTAAATCATGCGGATACAACTATTCTTAAGAAGAGATGCTGTAATAGCGTTAACAATATGGACAATATGTCAATATGTCAACACTATGTCAATATGGACAACAATATTGCCTTTCTTCTCCTTATTTTTTATATATAAAATACGCGCATAGTATGTTGTAACTAACTGCTAACGTTAAAATGTTCTTTACACCTTCTAACTGAAAAGTTTCGCCTGGTTTGCTTTAGTTTAAAGAAATGGATTTTAATTATTAGGTGTTGTAAAAGTTTTGAATTGATGTTGCATAGTCCTGTTTTTATTAAAAGACTGTATTTCTATAGTTTCAGTCAATTATGAAAAGATGCATAGGCACTTAGATAGGAGCCCTACATGTGCGATAAAAAAGAATAAATTTAGAAATATCTCAACTGCATGAATTACACAACAGTTGAAAAGAATAAAAGCTAGGAAATAATATAGTACATACAATAATAAAAATCTTTCGAAATATTAAAAGGAAAATTAAAAGGAAATAGTATCGGAATTAATTTTAAAATTTAGGTAAATTTATTTATTACATTATTAATTAACATATAAGGAAGGTACTTTTCCGTCTTTCCAGCATGCCTTTGTGGTGCAACGGTAGCACACTCGGCGCGTATTCGAGAGGTCCAGGTTCGAGTCCCGGCGAAGGCACTGAACATTTCTCACTTCTCATGCATAAACAAATATAATGACTCTACAGTTGCGCAAGAACTAAAAGGTGGTGGGGAATAAATTTTCACCACTCGGTTTTGATGTTTGGATCTCCTAATCACCAGTCGCCCTTTAAAAGGTGTGTATAAAAGGCCATTTTCTCAATCTCTCCAGCATGTATTTGTAGTGTAACGGCAGCACACTCGTAGCCAATCTCTCCAGCATGTATTTGTAGTGTAACGGCAGCACACTCGTAGCCTATTCGTGAGATAAAGGTTCGCGTCCGGGCGAAGGCATTGCGCATTTTTCATATCTTCTGCTTCAAAATAACCTAATGACTCTACAAGCATACCAAGCACAGGAAAAGAACTTAAGCCGATTCGCAATTATACCCTGAACATAAACCTCCCGTTTAAATATCAATTCCACTTTTTTTTTTAATTTTAAGCTGCATAAGCATACTATTCAGTTTTTATGGATTAAATAACTTATTTTCAAGAGCAGAACCAATATACTAATATATTTGTGCTGATATAATGTAATAATGAAAGCAAAAGCTTAAGATTTGATTTTCGAATAAGAAGTGTAATTTATTTCAGCCAACGCAAATATTTCCGTTGGAATCTTGCTTCTAGTTCAGGATTACAAGCAGTATGTCAACGAATTGTTAAACTTGTATGTCTACTAGTAACTTTAATTAAAGGTCTCGGTCAGAGTTTCCTAATTACGGTTGTTGTAAAATCTCTGCGTGTATTCAGACTACAATTTGTTTCAGTAATACAATGGAGTGAAGCAAGTAAAATTGAA